AAGGGACACCGTCCCGTTCCGGGGGGTTGTTTGGTGCCAAGGGGTCGTCTTGTCGTTTTTTTTCGAGGGAAGCCCCTTGTTTGGGTTGACTTTTTTACAGGCAAAGCAAAGGGAAACCAGGGAATCCAGCCTTTTTGTGGGTTGTTCTAGATTGACCAGACATGAACCCACCAGTTATTGCTCGAAGGAGTTCTGCTTTAGTGGTTGGATGTCTGTCTTCTGTGAAAACCGGGACCCCTGATGAATAACTGGGTGCAGGAGGTTATTAATCAGGGGTCAACATTACTTGGGTTTTCGACTCGCCAAGTTAGCTGTATCAGTACCCGTTAGGTTATAACCCGCGAAGTCTCCCGTTCAGCGGAGTTAGCCCTAGTGGGTTGGCGAACCACTCATTTGCCCGAAGCATCCTAGTACCTCCTGAGAACATCCAGGTACCTGGGGAGAGAATCAGCACACGATGCCATATGTCGGCATTCACTTCGTCGCTTTCATACTGGTGGGCAAAAGCCGCTCGCATTATACTGTGGGCAAAATCCGCTTCGCACCAGATTGACTCTGTGAATATTTGGACAAACACTCGGCATGTACCATGACTATATAGGTTCTGTTGCGCCATGGCCGTGGCATGCAGCTGCCGTCGTCTTGGTGACCCACCCACGAGCCCAGCAACCCTTGGGGCTGCCAAAACGGCTTGATGGTAGTTGCGCATGAAGTCTGTCGAATGCTTTGAACATATCCTCTAGGTCCTCCAGATTTGAGAGGTTAGAATAAGGGTACCAACTTCTTTCTGTGGTCTATTTTAGGGCAACCCTCCCAACCAAAAAAGAAACGGTAAAAGAGCACCTAGCTGGGGGACCTAGTCCTTCAAAACCAACCTGTGGTTCCCGTGCGCCTTGGGTCAGCTCCGGTTCGGCCGGCGGGTGAGGCTCTGAGGAGCCGGCCAGGGTGCCGATGTAGTGGCGCAGCGGCATGCCCATCGCCTCGGAGAGAAACAAATCACGTGCCGTTCACTCTGGATGCTTTTCTCACTGAGTGGATGGCCCAAAAAAGGTCCAAAGTTTGTCTGTACCACTAAAATGGTCCTCCCAAAAAGTTTAAAGTTCATGAACTCAGGAAGTGAGTTTTCTTTCAGGGCACCATATGGGACTGTTTCAAAAAAAACACAGGGACCGCCAATTTTCGGGCATGAAATGGGACTGGTTCAAACCGACACCACAAAAACAGCAAGCAATTTTCGGGGTCTAGATGTAGATGCTCCCATGGTAGATGAGTCTGGCAAAAAATGGGGGGGGAAACAGTATCCCCCTTTGGCTGGCCGTTGGACATTGCCAACATATGGGCTATTTAGCACCCACTCGTCAATCGGGGGCAGATCAGTATTCTGGAAAGCGACACCACGGCACGCAAAAGCCTGAACAAGCCTAGGTTGTAACAATCAATGCGAAGGCCTTCAAAAAACAACCACAAAACAACAGTCAAGGGGAATGAGACAAGCAAGGCCAACATTATCTGGATTCCAGCAATGCCAGACTGATCCGACCCGCTGACTTGTTGCCAAGGGAAAACCAAAGAAGCACAAAAGGGCCTTTTTAAAAAAATGGTTTCGCGAAACACACAAAATGGGTTATTGGCTTTTGGTCTCCCTTTTTGTGCGGGGTGAAGGAAATCCTGCATCACCTAAATCAACAAGTTGAACACGGATGTGGAAAGACCCCCCGCATCCCATATTGAGCGTTGCGTTGATGGGCTCTAAAGGTGGTGCTCGCCGTTCAACTTCATTTGCTTCGGGGTGCGCAATCCAATGCTAAGACTGAACATGGAACAAAAAAGGGGTCCCTCAATAGCAGATTCCTCTATGATGGTTGGTTGGCTTCCATGAAAATCTTCAGGGGATAGCCTCCCTCCAACAATCATGGAAGCTGACGATCGGAGGGTTTTGGAAGACGATTTTCGTTTTTGGGGAACCCCTCTGTCCACTTCCATGATTTTTGCACGGGTCAGCCTGATCAGACCCGAGTGCCCCCGCCATCGCGCTGGATCCCTCGCGGCCCTCGCGGCCCTCCGCCTTCTTTGGAGCCCAGCTTGCAGCTGCGGCCGGCGTCGCTGCGGTCGGCGTCGCTGCGGGTCTTTCTGTTCCCCGGGTGGCTTAAACCTTCCCAATGGCGCCTCTCCAGACACCAGGCCTTGCAGACATCACCCCTGGTCAGGAAGGATTATTCAATGCCTGTCTTCCGGACCCAAACTCTGTGCACTTCCCTGAGTGCCGAGAAAAGGCAGCTGTCGTTTGCATAAATTGGATACATCAATTTGCTTAGTCTTTGCAAAAAACAAACGTAGGCCCAGTAGTGATAGATTCCCTTGTTTAAAGCCAACAGGGGAAAATACATTCTATTCCTGAGCAAATGCAAGGATATGATCTGCCAACGCAGCCCAAGCATGAAAGCACCGGTTTTCACGCGCCAAGCAAACAATTGGCAGCGGAGACATGCCTGAACTGCCAGCTTGTTTGAAGGCAAACACATGGCACTGACAAATGGTTTGAAGCGAGCTAAAACTATAGGAGTCAATTTAGCTGACCTAGAAGGACTATGGGGGGATTTAGAGCATAGGTGTCCTTTTGGAAAAATAGATGACCGTGGTAGATGGCTAATAAGTTATAAAACCAATCTAAACCAGTGAGGACACCTATGACTTTGGGGCTTCAGGGGTAAACAAGGCAAAGGCGATGTGTCGCTGGATCCTCGAGATGGGGGGACCAAGAGTTGTGCTTTGCAGCTGCTTTAGCTTTCTGGTAAATGAAATACTGTACAACCAATCTAAGCCAGTGCCATGCATTTCTAACCAAACTCACCTAAAAAGACACCTGCGACACCGAGTCTTCAATACTTCAGGCTGAACAAACATCAAGAGAGCCGGCGCAACCAGGTTGGGCAAACCCGTCGAAACATGCTTGAACACCCATTCTCCGTCAACACATCAGGTAGGCTTCCCTTCACCTGGGAATCGAAACGGGTCGGGCCGTCAAAGCACACGAACACACAACAACACAAGCACACGCCCAAACGTGAAAACACGCAAACAAGAAAGCCAGCCGGCCAGCCAGCCAGCCAGCCAGCAAGCAAGCAAGCAAACAAAGAAGCCGACAAACAGGCAATCACAAAGGTTTAGCCAAGCCTGCTGCATAAGTGCGATGCGATCAGCCCGCAGATTTGATCATTTTGCTGAAGCCCGCGCATCTTGGTATCCGAAAAAGGTTGGGGTGGCTACAGCATTGTTAGTTGGGTGTATATATATATATATTAATATATATGGGCGTGTAAGCTTTTTTAGGGTCCGCAATCCGCTTGGGTTTAAGAGGAGACCAGGAAAACCACCTGTGTAGGCGTCCCCCCTTCGCACGTAGACTGTAGTGATGGCCAAATCATGGACGGCAACAAATCCCCAGAAGCAACAAGAACAAAGCCACAGCACTCTGCTGCCACTCCCAGGAGTGACTGTCAAACAAGAGAGGATACGGTCCGCGTCCAATGACCCAACCCAAGGAGACGTATTGGGTCTTCGTTTTCAGGGTACCCCTTTTTGTGGGTTTAGAGGAACCCAAAAGAACCACCACCTTTTTGGGGGTCCTCTAAACAGAAACAGAATATTCATAGGCCACAAAGTCCCAACACTCATTCAGATAGGTGCAGTTATGCAGAGCACGGTTTTGAGCGGCATTGCTTCACCAATGATTCCAAGACAGTTGCGTTGCAAGCTTAGTGATAATGCAACCAAACCATTTACCACCATAAGTTTGAAAAAAAAAAGAAAGCCTTCAAAGTGATTGGCTCCAAGGTGGTTGCTCTTCAAAACGCCAAAAGAGGGTATCAAAGAAAGACAGCTCTACATTTGACATGAGATAATTCACCCCCCCGCCCGCCCGCCCCCGGATTCGGGGGTGGATAAGTACCCAAAAAGAGATTGTCCGGGCTGTCCCCAAGGGTTTGGCTGGGGTCTCCCCCAATCCCGTGGGGGCTTGGGGCTATTAAAAGGCCCCTCAGTCATTTCCTTTGTGCCCCATAAAGGAAGAGCAAAAGAAGGACTTTGTTGGGTTGAACCGCTTCCATCTCGGACCTCTTGGCCCCCTCTCCCCCGCAAAGGTTCGAGAGGAACCTTTCCCGAGGGGGCCCTTTGGTGTCCTAGGATGCTGAGCCACCGTAAACCCGAAATCGCCAAGCTCTTTGGCGCGCGCTTGGTGCAAGCACTGAAACCGAAATCAGGTCTGGCCGCCTACCAAAAATGCGTGTAGAGGTGGACATGGTCTCTTCTGTGGCCCGCGCAAGACAAGGTAATAGAACCCTATACTAAATACTGAGAATTAACGTTCTAGGTGCTGCTCAACGATTTGCGATAACTTCCGACCTCTCAAGCATCTCATCCAAGTGCCATGATAGCGGACTCGTTGCTTTGCTTCTGCCCTGAGCAGATTGTAAGCCGCGGTCAAACAGTTAAAGCTCTTTTGGTGGGCCACTGGGCCATGGTGATGGGCCGCTGAATAGGACACCTCCGCCTGCAATGAAATGTTGAATGCGGACAAAAATCCGCTTTGCACCGGTTGGTAGATGGCTTATCCCATTATTTATAGGGCTTCATTTATCCCAAGTGGTGCAGTACTTCGTCCACCCACACTAGGGAACCGCCTCAAGAGTGATTGGCGCCCCACCGAAATGATGTCCACCAAAGGATCCTCAACTAAAAATCACACTCTGGTGGTCCAAGATTACGCTGAGTGCACTGACCTCTCGACAAGTTGAAACGCGTTGACGCAGTTGAAGCCAACCCCTGGGTGAGTGCCTGAACCCTGGCCAAAGAAAGCAAACAAACAAACAAGCAAACAAACAAACAAACAAACAAACAAACAAACACGCAAACAGTGCCTTGCAAACCAGCCAACAGCCCTCTTCATTCGCTGGGGAAAAACACAAACAACAACTTTATGTTTTACGTGCAAGCCCTTCATGGAGCCGTCAAAGCATTGGCCGCTGAATTGGTTTCAAGCGCTGCGCATTGTACATTTGCACTTGCCCGATGCGATCACTCGCTAGCTCTTGCCTCAGCGAATTGGCGAAACAGCCCTGGTCCTAGATCTGGGTGCAAGTTCGAGTGCAAAGTCTGTTGAAGCAGTGGTACATTCATACCCACTATGTAAATCAGTACGAGGTACAACTCATTGTTTCTCGCTCCATTCTGTGATTCATTGACTGACGGACTGACTGACTGACCGACCGGCCGGATGGATGGATGGATGGGATGTGAAGGGATGGAGAGCGCGGACCGACGGCTGGCTTCCAATATTGCCTGCGTGACATTCCTGGGTTGATTGCTTGCTTACTGAAATGGTTTAGTTGGTTTACAGGGCCAAACGCATTGATATGGGGCTATTCACCGTATTGCTTATAACTTATAATTGCGCACGTTTCAATGGTGGTGCGCTATTCTGTTTAATGTTGACCCCGTCGTACCCAACCCGAGTTTTCTCAGAGGGGATGCTCCCCTCCAAAAGTGGTCCGATTCACCCCCAAACCCAGGGACACCCCCCTATTAATGAACCAGGGGTGATCAATATGGGATCAAGATGACCGTCATTGCGTATAACTCCACGAGGCACACTGCATATCAGACATAAATCCCACAGGCATCTCTGGTGCTGTCAATTTCTGTGTCAACAACATGTCAATAATCCTAATCTCACTTCCTGAGTCGGTTGGCAAGAACAAGTCCAAACTTTTTGTTTGCCACTAAAATGACCATACCAAAAGGCATAAAATCCAGGAACTTGGGAAGTGAGTATTAGCGTCAAGTTGGATGCTTGGGCTGCAAATTCAAAGCGCGGATCCCCAAAACTGAAGCACGCCTGAAACGACAGTCAGTGAGACGCGAAGCCGTCCTTTTGACGGTGGTATGACGCGAGCGGAAGTCATTCAGATTTAAGGAGTTTGTTTGCCATGGAAAGCTTTGACAAGGAATTCTTCAACTAGACAAAGCCTTGAAAATTGAGTCTTATCCCAAAATCGGAAAACCCGCATTCAATGTGTGGTTTCCCTTTCCCCAAGAAAAAAAAAGAAGAAAACACACGCGAACCCCAAAACCGGGGTTTCCGAGCGCAAACCCGAGGGTCCCCGCCTTCAGTCTGCCTTGGCGAAGACCACGGTGGACCAAAGGGAAAGCACCTGAGAGGTCGAGCTTCCGTCACGGCCCACTGCCAGTCGACATCGGGAACACAGTGGCAACCCTCAGTTGTTGCCTTTTTTATATGGTAAGGCGTCTCTTGCTAGCACTTCTTTTCGCCCAACAAAAAGAGGATGGAAGTCACTTGTAGCGAAATAAAAAAGCAAAAGTGCCAAACAAAAGAAGGATGGATGTCATGTGAATCTTGGCCCAAAAGCAGACTGACAAGGGTTCTGAACTACTTTCCGGGCGGTAGCTCTAGGGTAAGGGCAACGATAATTTTCTTACCAGGTTTGGGTTAGGACCATCCCAAAAAACAAACAGCTGATACTGGGGCTGAACGAAAAATCACTTCCCACCACTTTGAAACCATGGGTGAAACCATAACATTTGTTCGGATTCATCATAGGGTTCCGTAGGTGGTGCGACATGTGTCTTTCCAATCCAAATTGTGGACGGGGTCGACCTGAAAAATGTAGCTAATCAAAAAGGCCGGTTTTCCGAACCCATAGCTGGAAGCGTCCACTATTTACGCAACTTGCGCAGAGAACAGTCCGCGGTTTGCTAGCCAGTTCAATCTTCTTTAATCCATGATCTGCGCTGCAAACTTCGGGTCACAACCGTATGTTGGAGCATGGAAAAATCCGTGCAAACCACAATCCGCATATCCGCAATCCGTAATCCGGTATCATTGGGGGATTGGGTTGAACAGGCTAGGTTTGCCTCAGGGATCGCGTTCAAGCAATCCCAAAGAAAAACCAGCCAGCAGCTCAACTGTGCTGAGTTTTAGCTTCGTCCTTTTGGGATTGTTGTTTACAGACAGCACACAACTCACTTCCCGAGTGGATTGGCCAAAACAGTAAGCAAACTTCTTGTTTGCCACTAAAACGTCTTCAAAATTGACAGTCCAGGAACTCGGGAGCGAGGCCTTGAATCGTGGGGTCTCAGCAAACTTTCTGGATGGAGAGAATCCAAAGCCAAACCTTGAAACGTCTCCGCGCCAAAACCCAACGAAATCCAACAAGCCTCAGGGCCCCAGCAAAACGCAGCAACCAGACACGCTCCAGCAGCTGAAGCGCGCCTAACGAAAAACCAACAGGCGCCTACATCGCGGACGCTCTGGTAATTTGGGATCGAAACTTGGAGAGACTTTGACATTGAGTCCAACTTTGGCCCCCTTTTATTCCTCTAAATTTGGTTCCCCGTTTTGGGCGCAGGAGGGTTTAAAGCCGAGTTTGATGGTCACGCCTCGCGTTGAAATGTCACTTGGTTGGTTCCGCCCACGTAAGCATAGGGAAGCCAATGAGAAGCTGCCAATGGTGGTTCCCACCAAGATCCGAACCCCTGCAAAAACACAGGTGTTTGCGCGTGGGGACAATGAAGGAACCTTGAAGGGCGAAAGCGTGAACGCCGTAATCCATAGTTGGACACCAACACAAGGGAAACCACTAGCACGTGACAGGATGAATGATTGATTTCAAACAGCCCAGGCTTTGTTCACCTTGTTGCGAAGCCTGTTTTTTTTCTCGACCTCCAAAAGTAGCAGTTCCAGGAGAACCCACCAGTGTACTGATGAACTGCTGAGGGGGAATTAGAGCAACCCCTAGTGTGCTCAGTGTAAACAAATCACACTGGGCCACCTTTTCACTGATTCGATGACAAAGGCTCCTAGGCTGCGCCAACCAGCTTGACAACACGGCTTCTGAACAAACAATGTCAGACAGGCTGCGGTATATAATATGTAGCAGGACTATCTTGAAGCTTGCTGATAGCTCTCGGTGCCATTTCCGGCAGTCCCTTCTCAAGCACTGCACGACAACCATTTCGCAACCGTGCAGAAACCCTGGAATGATTCGCCAACGTAAAAACCGACAACCAATGGTTTCAACCATGGTTTCATTTCGTGGTGCGAAACGGACTTCGTCCATCCACAGTATTTGAATGTTGGACAATGCACCGTGGGCAACCAATCCAAAAACCGACGAACAGGACAGTGGCTTCCCCATGCCAACAAGGCTTGCATCGAACTAAGAAGCAGATTCAACACCCGCTGGGTAAGCCAATTCGTAGAGTACCTACTTCAAATGGGTGTCATTGTTTAGGAGACCCCCCAAAATGGGGGCTTTCGGTCTCCCTTTGCCACAAAAAAAGGTGCCCTCAAAAACGACACTCCCAAATGCGTGGGCTTCCTTGAGATGTCAACCCAGTTGGCATGTTGAGGCCCTTTTCAAGTGCCCAAAGTGGCAACCAGATGCTGAAAGGACTGCTATAGCAAGCATGTGCACTCGAAACAAGGAACACCAACCAAGATACTTGGAGCTAACTTGAGATTGCAAGGAACACACATAAGATGCAAGAGGTGTGCATTCTTGCGATGCAACTACTTTTGAGGGTAGTATCAAGGGTTGTTACACTCCAAAGTCTCACCATCTAATGGAAACTCTCCAAGCATGGCCATGGAAACTGCCATGTCTGATCCTTCCAGGTGGGATCATGGCGTAGACATTCTCAGTTGCCCCCTTGACCCGAAAATCAAAGGTGATCACCTTTTGGGATCAAAAGGACCGGGCGAAAAATAGTTGCCGAAAAGGGAAAACCAAAAGGTCACATCCGGTCGATTCGCGGCTGCGGCGACTGAGCTGCAATGCAGGGAAGGGAATGACCCAGAGGGATTCCCTGGGCTTTTTATGGAAAAAAGCCAATGGCACTCTTTGTTTGGTTCATTTTCTTGCTGGTGCGAGAGATGCAGGGAATGAGAAATGGAATCACCCCAAGCAAAACCATCCAACTGGTGGCTTCCTTTAAGGGAATCCCGGGTGTATTTCCTCATTCCTACTGAGAGCACCAGAAAGTTTTAACAGGGGACCCAGCCCAAAAGCAAGTTGAACCATGGCTAGGTCCTCCAGTAGAGAGGTTAGAAGAAGGGTACCAACTTTTTTCTGTAGTCTATTTTAGTAGGGGAACCCTCCCAACCAAAAAAGTGGGTAAGAAAGGGCACCAATCGCTGGGGGACCTAGATGGGGCTCATCATCCAACGGTCTGGACGCTTCCCTTCGCACCCCGACCGAGTCGAGTGCCGAATCGGCCTTGGGTGCGGCGGTTGGCTCGCCGATACATGCCCGGGCGAATGGAGCGGGCCTGGTGGTTTGGGTGCCCGAACGACTCAGACGACCCAAAGCGAAAGCCTAAAGCTCATAGGGGACCTTCCATTTCCGAATTCTTTCCAGGAATCCTTCTTTCTGATTTCTGAACCTGCAGAAACCGAAAAGAAAACGGAAAACGATCGGTTTTGAGAAGAACGATGGTGAAAAAGAATGGTTGGAATCAACCCCTAGAATCAGAAACTCCTGAGCTGATGGGCCCAAAAAAAAGAGAGTCCGCACTTGTTGTTGGCCACTAAAATGGTGTTCCCCAAAACAGTCCATGAACTCAGGGAGCAAGGCACTGGCAGCCAATGCACGCTGAGAATTGATTGCCAATTCACGCTTACCAATTCCGCAATGTGTGATTGCTTGTTCGGACGCCGATCATTCCTGCTGCGGCGTTTGGATACTTTGCTAACTTTGTTAAGTCGAAAGACTCTTCCAATGCCCGAGGGATGCTCATCCTGATCCACAAACATTCAGAGAGTCATAAGATAATGTCTAGGAAGTGAGTTGCTTCCACTAGAGAAAAGCGATAAGCAATCAACCACCAAAGTCCCCCGAAAATTATCCTGCGACCCAGCCCTTTGAAACACAATAGGCATTAGGACATAAGCTTTGATCAACGTCGACTCATCGGGAACGCGCACGTTTGCCTGCATGGCTTGAAGCTCATATCAAAGAGGCCCCTCCAAAAAAAACGCCACACGGTACTGTATACAAAAAATGATGTACGCTGCCAATGCAAACATACAGTTTAACATGTATCGAACAACATTTGGTTACCTGGAAATAGACCTCCTTTGATTTGCCAGCTTGCTTGTCGCTCCTTGCTTGGCAGCGCAATGGCCGTCCACATCCTGCTAAAATGCTCACTCCCAAACCCCCCCCAAAAAAGTCGTGTCTCCTCAGGGCAGTGCAGGCATAGATGGTCCCAAGTTCCGTGGTTAGCAACCCCCAAATCCAATTAACCTCCACGCGGGTCTGTCTTCTTTTGAGGGCACCCCATTCGTAGTGTTTTTTAACGGAACACCCAAAGGAAATGCACCATTTTAGGGGTTCCCCTTTAAAAAACAAACAAACAACACACACACACACACACTGAAGCCCCCGAAGATCCCTCATAACTAGGGCTGCTAACCATGTCACTCGCGGCATCTAACCAGCGCCCCGCGCCTGGCCGGTGAGCCACTGGATCCTGGCAATCTGACAGATCTGCTGGTCCAACCAAGTACGACAAGGGGCCAAAAAGGATTCATTGGTACATCTTCAAGGTACTGAGGGACCCTTGCGCAGAAGTTTTCGGACCTTTTTTTGGAGATGCACTGGGGTGAAAGTAGAAGCCCGATTATGTTATTCGTTTAACAGCTCCCCCGACAAAGATTGCGCCTGTTGAAAGCCCTTTGGCCCTGTAGTGTCCGATCCCAGGCGACTTTGATCCTGGTTGGCAAGCACGTAGGGAAGAAGTCGAACGCTCCAGGTTGGACAATACGGGTGGTTTACTCGCAGTACTTGGCGCACACAGTTGATAAACATAATAAACAACAACCATACGCCCAAGTGGGTGTGTCTCGTGTTTTTTTTAGGGGATCGCCAAACTGACTGGCATTCCTTTTTGTGTCCCTTCAAAACCAACCCAAAGATGGTTCCCCCCCACCAAAACCCAACTACCCCGGAATCCTTGCGGAACAGTCAGCCGCAGGGAGCCCATTCAAAGCAACAAATAGCTTTCAGTGTGGGACAAAGCTCACAGAACAGCAACATAAGATCAAGCAAGGCCAGGCACAACAGCCGCACGAAAACCAATACTGCAATCTACCAAACCAAGAAGCAACAAAAACAAAAGAATGACAAAACAACAAAAAACACCGAACCCACACCTTCGCACCCACACCTTCGACCCCCCCCCCCTCCCCCCGTTTCCGATGGGTTCGGTCGAAGGCATCCCCCGCCTGCCCTTGGCCGCCATGGTGGCTTGCCACCAAATGGCGAACAAGGCCCGCAGGCAGAGAAGCGCCAGCCTGCCAGGCGCGGGAGGAAAAAAACACGGGGAACCGCACGGGGGGGAAGGCAACACCATACAATCGACCCGGTTGCCTTCTTCCGGAACCAACGGGAACGGGAATGGGAATGGGAACAGGAATGAGATGAGTGGGAATCGGAATGGGAATGGGAACAGTTTAGCTTGGCCGGTCAATTTTGTGAGTAAAACTCGGTCATATGGGTTGACGAAGTTAAACTTGGTCAAGGAAGGCCAGGCAATCAGGGGAAAGGGTCCCAGAAAAAGAGTGAACCTCCAGCAGGACATTCATAAAATCGGGGGGAAAGGCTCCAGGGGGAAAGTGGGGGAAAAGGTCCAGGTGAGTGGGGCAAAGCAAAGAACTCGAGGAAACCCGCCAGCAAAAAAGCCAGCGACAAAAACCGCGCGGGGGAATCCAGGAAGAGTACAGCCCCAACCCGAGAACTCTCGAGAACTCGGGGCCAAAGTTCGGGATGAAAAGCAAAACTGACAGGGACGAATTTGTTTGGCCCATGGCTTTGCTGTGAACGTGTGCGCAAATAGGCATTCAATTTTGGACCCTTTTGTTGGTCTACATTTGCTAAACGATGTGATACTTGACCGTCCCACGCCTGCCACACATTGACACTGGCCACACTATTTTACCATGATCAAAGTGTCACCCTCGAAGTGGGTTGAAGGGAAACAACCAATTCCATTCTCTGACTTTGACAACCTTTAGACACAATCCAAGTCATGACCCGTGTCTGACACGCTGGACATACGGGGAATGCCCGTAATCGACACTCCCCAACTGGGCTCGCCATAAAGCTTGGTTCTCAGATTCCGAAGGGAATGAAGCCCAACTGAACCATCCCATCGGATTTCTGAAAGAAACTCCCAAGGGGCCATTCCTCAACCGAGTCCTTCATTCAAGCTTCTTTGCCTCTGGAACAAATGGGAAAATATCTCCTACTAGTACTGGAATGGACTCCCTTTCAAATCTTAACAAGGGAAAATCAACAAATAGTCATTCCAGGGAAAAACTGTCCAGTAGTGATAGATTCCCTTGGAACTCAACAAGGGAAAAACAAACCACAGCCTGAGCAAATGGACGGAGTGCTGCTTAAAGCTCAAGGGTTTGCACAAACCCCACCTGGAGGTCTGGAGGCTGCCAGCCGTGGCGCTGGCCGTGGCCTGCCGACAAGAAGCATGAGGGCCTACCCTCAGCGGTACTAAGCCTGGCTCAGGGCGAAACGAGCCAAACAAACGACGAGGGGCCCAACAACCAAACCAAAGCACGTCCCAACAAGCAAGGAACGCCAAGAGGCCTATCAGGTGAGCCATGAAGGCTTTACTTGCGTCAACCAATCAAAACGCTTGCAGTTGTTATGCAGTGTCAACACAAAACATGAGTTGTGTCCAAACAAGGTTTGCTGGGAGTTGAAGACGCGTATGATGTTTGTTTCTCAGGAGGTACCTCAAATCATGTGCTTATTGTTGAGGGTATGTGATAGTAGGATCTACACTCTACAATGCAAATGACTAGAGTCCTTTGCTGTGGGTGGACGAAACCCGGCACCACTTGGGATGAATAAAGCCCTATAAACAATGGCATAAACCGCCTACCAACTCGTGCGAAATGGATTGTGTTCATCCGCAACACCTCAAGCTGCAGCTAACTCCTCGAGCATTTCCAGGGGAAATTGGAACCAGAGGTTGGTGGATACGGTGAAACCCGATTTTCCAACCAAACCGAGTCGAGGACATGTCCTTGAGAGCTCCCTAATGTCCGGGAAACCAGGCCAAGGCCTGAAAAAGCGAATGGGACCTTTAACTCGGAGGGGTTCATGGAAATCTTGTGAAAAAACAGGGAACCCACAAGTGGATCAAATCTCAACACGTTGGCACGTACAAAAGGCCCAGCTAGATCCAAACTTCTGCGTCCTGAAACTAAAACCTAACTCGTCAGGCCGCGTCGTTCTGCTCAGGGCCCTGAAGAAACCAGCTCTGCCAAGCTTGGGCCAGCATGTACCAAGATGACGCCATCTCCTGAGTAACTGCAATGTGGGATATCCTTTTAAAGGTTGGACCAAAAAACATGTGGTTTCCCATTGGTTTCCCTTTAAAACCACAACAAAAAGGTACCCTGAAAAAAAGACTGAACCAAAAAACACCCCCAAATCTTGAAGGGTTGCTTCACTTCTGGTCGCTGCGAGGGCCGTGCTTTTTTTTTCAATGGCGGCCTCAACCGGGGCTCTTGAAGGAAACATGAAGACCTTTTACCCGGGGAGTACTTCATTTTCAGACGCCAAAATGCATGTCAGTACGCCAACTGGACCCCACACGCATCATCCTGAACATTGCCTTAAAGGCCCTGTTTCGTGATATTGATATATGCAAGCGCCCTGGCTGGCTTCTTCAATGTCAAATGGGGCTTCGTCTAATGGAAAGTTTGTATGTTCCTCAGGAAACCGATCCAAAGGAAAAGAAACCTACTCTTTCCCCCTAAGTGGGAAGGATTGGTGATTTGTTCCCTCAGGTTGGGCTGTTCAGTTTCAGGAATCGTGGTTAAAAACACGTCGGGAGCAATAAAGGGAGCTAGATGATTCCTAATAGCTTGCTCTTGGAATCACAACTAAGCTTGGTTTCAACATACACACAACCTGGTTGAGGTTACGCTTATTGGAGGTAAGGGTATAACACACACAAACCGGAGACATGGAACTCCCCCAACTGAGCTCGCCAGAAAACGTGTTGGTTCTCAGATTCCGGAAGGGAATGAACCCAACATGAAACATATCCTTCCGTGAAGAACAGTTCTAAACATCCTAGTGCTTCCAGTTGCCATTATAGATAACCATATATTTTACCCGTAGGTCTCACGTGATGGTTTCCGCTGGCTACGCACTATAGTCGTAACTGGAAGCACTGGGTTCGCAGCCAGCAAGACAAGGAACTCAGTTGAGCGCCCAAAACAGTGCCTGCTTTCATGGGGCTTGAAACAAGCCATGTGTGAACCTTTCTAGCATTGTTCGTAAACCAAAAGTTAGTGGGTTTTGGGCGGTCTAATCTGCAAGCAGGAGCCACCGTGCCCGGAAAGGAAAGAAGGAATGAGTTTTTTTGCTCCTTTTGCCCGCAATAGTTTATACTCAGTTCCTGAGTTGGGTACAAACTGTTTGTTTGCCACTAGCATGGCTCAACCCCGAACAGCGACTGAAGTCCATAAACTCCGGGAGTGGCAAGTCCTTTTGCTGCGCTCCGATTTGACCGCGCTGACTTTGCCCCACCTGCACGCTCGCAAACGAAGCTTGGCCGCGCCAGGCGCGGAAGCTGGTCCGCAGCAGGAAAAGCCTCGATGGCGGTTCTGCCCTCCCAATCCAAGCCTAGGTCCTCCAGTAGAGAGGTTAGCATAAGAATACCCGATTGTTTTTCTGTAGTCTATTTTAGTAGGGGAACCCTCCCCCAAAAAAGGGGAGAGAAAGGGTACTGAGGGACCTAGCAACCACACAGGGTGTTGAATAGGGATTAACCAAATAGCCTGGAGGATTGTACCCCAGACCAAATACTCCAGCTTCATTGGTGGTTTGCATTGGGGTTTGGGGCTTTGAGCCCCAGCTCCCCCACTAGGCCCAGGCTACCAAACATAATCACCAACTAAGGGTAAAGTGAAATACTGTGGATGGACGAGTCATCCATTTCGCACCACAAACTGAATCCATGGTTGAAAACCCTTATTTGTTGATTTGCTACAGGGACATCAGCATTCCAGGGTTTCTTAGGTGGTGCAGACATTTGCCCATGCACAGTAGGGGATTAACAACCAGCATACATTAAGACTGATTGGTTATTTAGTACCCACGTGCAGGGAATCCGTGCTCAAGCCTGCCTTCTAGGATTATTCATGAACACTTTGGTAGTGGCTCGGCAAAATGTACATCCCAAGATCTCCTGTTTCACGGGCAGATCCTCTAACTAGCTGGTACATGTGATTTCCATGACGAAGCTAATGCATCCTTTAGGCAAGCCTGTTCGTCGCCTGCTTTTCACAAAACAGATCAATCCAGGTCGGAACAATCGAGGGTGAAAAGGAGAACTCACTATTGGATACATAAACATAACCTTCCCCGTGCCGGGGGGGCATAACCTTGCACAAGCAGGTTGAGCTTAAACGCCCTTCAACCGATCGGACACTTGTTTGCTGGTCAACTGGCAAAACGATGGACACCCAAACAGAGCAAACGGGCAAACGGGAGCTGTGCTTGCAGTAACAGCGGCCACAACGGCCATTCTAAAAGGGACGCCAAACAGAAACTACCCATTTTAGGGTTTCCCGCATCTGGATCCCACACGAGCTGTGACTTCTTGGTTGGGGGCTGGGGCGGTGTATGTTCGTTCATCATTTCAAGTTGTGCCCACAAGGGAGGGGTAAGCCTGGACACCGGGAATTGCCAGCAAACGACAAGGGCCAGCATGGTGGCAAGCTGCCGTCTCTTGAAGCAAGGCCGATCTGAACCACTCGCTTCGATTTGTGATGGACATTTAAAGTAGATGGTGTCTAGCCCACCAAGGTCCAAGGCCAAGAAGCGACGGTAATCATCACGACGTGTTTAAGCACGAGTTCGGGTCTGTGTCACGTTTGTAGTCTGCAAGACACCAACATCTCCATTTGGAGGGCCCTGGGAGCACCTTCCACATTGGGCCTTAGCGACAAGTTTGGCAAACAACCCATCTGGGTGTTTCTCAGAATAGTGGACACCTCAAAAGAAACAACCCATTCCTAGATTCGCATGAAAGTTCACAGCCTCCCTGCTACGTGGCCAGGTGCCTTCTCAAGGGGCCTTAACCACCCCATGGGATTTGGGCCCCTAAACTGTTGAACAATCCTACTGTTTGGGACCCCCTACTCTTGATGGACGAAAACTGGCACCACTTTGAAACCATGGCTGAAACTGGGTTTCTGAACGGCAATGCAAAATGGATTTCGTCCACCCACAGTAGGTGTGACAACGGTGTGATTTTGGATTCCCTTCACCTACCAAAAGTAGAAGGCGACCCAACAACCCGATGCCCCGATGAAGGCTCCGGCAAACCGGCAAAGGCCCAATGCGACAGCTGCCTGCTTTTGAGGCGACGTGAGGCGCCCCCTTGGCTGAAGATCCACTGTAACAAGTTGCTGCTGGACAGGGAAAAGGAAGGACAGGCTGACAGGGGTCACTGGATTTCTCGCCTCAAAGATTACAATTTACTTGTGGTGTCTATTGAAACTGCCACTTTTGGAGGTTACAAAAAGGGAACTGAGGAAACCCTGAGACCAACAATTACAAAAGGCAAGTACCCTTCTTCCAACAACGGGAGCTGACGATCGGAAAGTGTTGGAAGACTGGCTTCCTCTTTGGAACCCACCTGTCCACTTCCATGATTGTTAGACAAAGGGTAGCTCAATGGTGCCTGGATGCTTGCAGTTTATGGCATTCATAACTTGATGCTGGCTACTGATGGCAAGAATCCAACTCAACATGTCAACTGACATCAAAGCCCAAAAGAAGGCTGATACTGGACATATGAGAATCACACATGGCAGACCAACATTGGTCGTTGCCAAAGGTCTGTGTTCGAAATGATGGGGTTCTGGCAACACCAAGTTGCTGCTGGATGTTGGCTTGTTTTTTTTCTAAAAGCATCCGCTGGCACTAGAAGCATACCTGCCGGCGGTGCAGTCAATCAAATGTGCGGCTTTATATCAAACATGGATCATGATGACTTGGGCCAATCATAACGAGAACATGCAACCAGCCTGCCCTCCCAAGCATGCTATCCCGCCAAACTGCCGACAAACACCAACCGCCCCTGCAAAGCTAAGCTCACCTGGCCAAAAGCAAGCCATCCCACTCCAGCTGCACAACTGGAGGGCCCAACCTCCATTGGTGACCCTCGCAGGTTGCAATGGGGTCAAGGGGGGTTATGGGGGGGGGGGGCTAGCCCTGAACCCCTTCACAAGGCCTTTTTACGGGCTCCGTGGCTTATCCATGGATACCCCCCCCCCTCTTGGGGGTCCATGACTGTTGGGCGCGGGCGTGGCAGCCTCACGTGCGCGGTATGAAGTGGATCCAAGAGTTGCAGCGAGTCCTGGAGGCGCGCCAAAGCGCCGGGAGTGGGTGGCAACCGATTCATGGACTAGGTCCTCCAGCAGAGAGGTTAGAGTAAGAGTACCAACTTGTTTCAGGACGTCTATTTTAGTGGGGGAACCCTCCCCCCAAAAAAGGAAAAAAGGGTAAAAGGGCACTACTGGGGGACCTAGTGGAGCAACCAGTTGGCCGAGACAAACACCGAGTGACATACCTCGTTGGGTCTCGGTTCCCATCAACTTCTTTCAATGCTTGAGGGAACACTCATGGGTCGAGGAAAGGAGAGGTGGCAATGCTTGCAGGTGGATTTTTTTATTGTCAATGTGGCTGAATGCGGTATGACGCATGAACCACATCTTCTCCAAATTTCATACACACGACGGGCGGGCCCATGTGCTTGTTAAAAGTCGAGTAGCCGAAACAATGGAAAGGCAAACGCCTGCCTGACTCAAGCTGGCGCTGTTACTTTTTGAGCAAAATCGGACCAGAGGTCGCCCACAGCCTCATGTCCCCCTCCTCAGTGTCAGCTCCGCCACCTGCCTGGCGGTGGAGATATGGTGGGTCAAAAATAGAGACCCGACATGCCCTGGTTAATGGAAAACAAGACCAAAACCTGCGGTCCCCAGGTGGTTTAATTCTGGCCATAGAAACACAAACACGCGCGCGAAGAGAGGGAAAGGCACACGAAAGAGAAAGAGGGGAGAGAGAAGGAGGGATCGACAGAAAGCAACAGACAGACAAAGAGAGAGAGAGAGAAAGAAACAACAAAGGTCAGAGGCACAGAGAGACAGACAGAGATGCCGGTGCCTGAAATCCAGACTCTTTGGGCGCCGGAATGGCCTGCCATTCATTTTGAAGGGAGTTGGTCATGAACAAGCGCTTGCTGATGTGATCAAACGATGATTTTTTGGTTGGGACCCTCTGGTGGACAAGATTTACATGGGAGTTCATGTCCACCAATCAGTTGACAGTGTTGCCCATCAAAACACGTAGCCCTGGGGGTGTGTCTTTTAAACTGTGGTGTTCCTTTCGTTTTCCTTTGAAACTCCCAACAAAAAGCAGGTACCCGCAACAAAAAGAAACCCATACTTCATCTTTGCCTTAGGGGCTTCGTTTGGCGGCTGGGATTCTGGGGGCAGGTTGGTTTCGAGGCAAACCGAAAGAAAGCCCTGATCTCCGTTTTCACTGTTTGGGTTTGGATCATTTTTGTGCCAAACCAAAGTGTGTGGTATCCCTCTAAACCAACCTGAAAAAATACCTTCGAAAACACACGCCAAATAATCAGGTGTCTGTGTGGATGCACTGTCTGGCTGGTCTTAAACACGAGGGGAGGACCATTCACCCACTTACAAGCAAACGCAGGTTTCCAATCACCCAGTCAGCTACCTTAATTGGTTGTTTGGATTGGTGGCTTGGGGGTTGAACCCCACTTCCCTACAAAAAGACAAGGACACAAATACAGGAAGTCCAGGAAGTCAGCACTCCCAAAACCCCGAACCTGACCCCGAAACTAAACCACCCCCTTCTGTTGGACAAAATCCTGTGCGTAAGAACCCCTGGAATGAGTCGATTCCTGATGAGAACATAACAACCCCAGCCACCTGGTGGTTGATCAACATTCTGGCCCGCAAATGGCCATGGGTAAATTCTCCCATTCACCGGGAAATACACAATCTGTTTAGTGGTCTTCCAACCAATGGTCATCCCATGTTTACCGGGCCTTTCGATCAACTCATATGCCTACTTGGGTGTGTCTTGTAGGATTGGACCCTCACAAATGGCAAGTTCCCTTGAACAAAAACAACCCTCAACAAAAACAGGGGAAAAGACAACTAAAAGAACATTTGGCACGCCATTTCCGTCAACCCGCCCACCTGAAGGCCCCCTTGACGGCTTTTTCTTCAAGCGGAGCGAGCTGACCCCACCTGACCAGTCGCCTTGGCTTCGCTCAGCGCTGCAGCCACCTCGGCCTGCGGAAGGTCGCTGTGCGTTTCTTCGGCGAAGGGCCTTGGATTGGCTTGGAGAAAACTCACCTGAGTCATAATCAAAACCCGGTTGCTATGGCAAGGATGGTTTCCATGCCTCCTAGCCGGTTTTTGGGGTGCACTCGAGTCCTAATCAAAGCCGATGGGTCTTAAAACGGTCGACCCAGAACCATGCTTCAAGAATGAAGGCGGATCTCCGCAGCGATTTTTTTGGAAAGGGGATTGTCCCTAACCTTCATCAATCCCCGGGTTTTGAGCAAGCTCATGGATCGGATCGGACGGAAGCCAAGCGTTTGGGCGCTTCTCAAGCCGGTGGCCCCTGTTTAGTTCAAGGTGAAACCAAAAGCAAAGTGAGCACCAGGAGTGCATGTTTTGAGAACCCACATGTTTAAACAGCTCCAAGCCGCCCGAAGCAAAAAGGTCGATCACTTTTTGTGGGTTTCATGGGACATCTCTTCGTTTCCAAAAGGTCAAAGCTCCTCCTTGCGATCTGCACGCATCTCCGAAGAGACACCATTTGGAGGCGCCCTAAGCACCAGCCATGAGAAACACGCATGGTTTTCAACATTTTCGTTTGGCCCCCCTATAAAAAAAAAAAGGATGGCCTATGAAATTGGTTTTCTGTTCTCCTCGTTTCACCCCCCAGCGACATCTATGGGGTCTTGGCCAATAGGGCGGCCTCATGTGTAGTAGCTTCCCGAAGGCCTGGGAAACATTGTGGGCCTATCCTCTCTTGGGGGGGTTAAAGGAAAATCACTTTCAGCTTGAAGGCTCAATCTTCTCGAATCTTTTCATTTGTCGTTGGGAAGCTGATCGAATCGATCGCGTCTCTGCGTCATGCTCAGCTTCCCTCTAATTGGTGGTTCGGATTGGTGGTTTGGAGGTTCGGGGGTGTGTTTCACATTTACCCTCTATAAGAACCAGGGGTTCAAATCCAACATAATCCAAGCTACCAATTCAGGGATTCCGCTAAACTCACTTGAGAGGATTGGCGAAACAAGGTCCGCACTATAAAGGAATCAAGAAAAAACGATCCAAACTACCAACTCTATGGGTTGCCTGCGCTAGAGCTGCCGCATCGAGCTGCAAGAAGGAAGCTGATCAAGAGCACCAACTCCACTGCGGAAAATGATGGGCGAAATGTCTCAACAAAAAGCCGTGCCCAAAACAAGCAACGCACCAACCCCAAACAAAACATGGTGCTTTTGCCGGGAACAAAACAAGACTCGGACCACCGCCATGGCTCACGGGTCGAGTCGAGTCGATTTTCGAAAATCTCGCCTCGAGGGCCTCGCTCTTCAGGCGAGAGATCTCCTTGGCTCTCCGAATCCGGCGGCCCAAGTCAGCCATGTGAAGCCAATGTGACAGCCTGTGGGCCAGGTCGAGGTACGACCCCCACCATTTCAAAGGCCAGGAGGAAAAGTCGACGAAGGGCATTCACCACTTACCAGTGGGAGTGATATGAGGGGTGAGCATCCAAGCCACTCTTGCTCCCAGAAAGCCGTTTTTCATACGCAAAGGTGGTATCCCCAACAGCTCCGGAACCCCTGGGGAACCCTCCGGAACCCTCCCTGGAAGCTGCCTCAACGCGCCCCAGAGCACATCTGGGCAGAGACCCCATAGCTTTCAGCTGATCGGATAAAAAAAATAAGAGCAAATCAAAACACAAATGACAAACCGGGATTGTGCTTTACTCCCCTCATTCACCTGGTGTTGGCTGTGGCCCCAGCTCTCCGACAAAGATTCCTCGCCAAGGTGCGCACCGCGCCTCAGCCCTGCGCAACGCCTCGTCCGCAGCGAGGGCTGCCGCACCGCCGGTGAGACTCGGAGCTCGAGGCGCAAAGCGCAGAACATGACACTTGCCTCACTGCCGATTTGTAGCGGATTGGCCGAAACAAGGAAAAACAAGCGTCTTGTTTCAGCCACCAAACTGGTCCAACCCCCAAAGAGTGACGAACGTCACGAAACTCGGGAGGTAAAAGCAGAACAAACACCCCAAACAAATCGGGGAACAAAATACGCGAGTCCAATCAATCGCCCAAAAAGTGGGCATGAACTGCTCAGTCTTCGCGCCCGAGGTGCTCGAGCTGCAGATCCAGCGCGTCCGGCACCTAAAGGAAGCCAGAAGGAACATCTGAGGGTCTCTTTTGTTGGGGGACCCCCCCCAAATGTGTGTTTTGGTTTCCTTTTACATCAGTCCCAAAAAAGGGTAGCCTCAGAAAAGGAGAAAAAAAAACGCAGCCACTTAGAGGGAAACTCAGTTGGTGGTTTTGAAGGGAAACCAAAAGGAAACCACCGATTCATTTTGAGGTTCCCGGACATTGAGACAAGCCGTGTAGTTGTCAACACCTGCACCTGTAGGTGGGGGGGCAAATACAAGCTCCACCAGTCACAGAAGGGTACAATAATGAGGATAAATAGGAGTCCTTTCTAGCTTCATCGCGGTGCAATGGAAGCCGTGAATTGCAGAAGTCTGGGGCGAAGTATACTAAATCAGCAACCCAAACGAGGAGCAAGCTTCTATGAAAGGGTTCTTCATGACTAAAGTTGAATCTTGCTGTAAGTGAGGTCGCTACAGCTTGATTTGCCTAGATAACGGCCAGGATTTGATCCCCCCTTCACATGGAAATCAGGAATCATTGTGCCGGAGACCAGCTCAAGCGGCTCCCTTGGCTGGACATCTGGACGTGGTAAACCAAACAGTGCCAACGCTCCTTCTCTATGTGTGATGACTTGAGACAGCAATTACACCACAACGGAGATGCCCTGCCGAATATCTGTCACAAAAAAAAACGAGTGGAGTGAGTCCAAATGGCACTTGCAATCCTTGGCGGAATGAGGCGGCCTTCCGGCCTTACCGCATCATGCTAAGCCATTGAGCGTGAACAAAGCCCAAGAACATCTGAGGTGCAACGAAGGCCGGACCATGAGCAGCTCATGCGTTCATCAAGCAAAGAGTATATATACGCGATACGTGCAAAAGCGGTGACGTCAGTTGATAACGGTCCATCGCAAAGACATGCAAACTGTTCAAGCTTATAAGCAACAGGAAGCATTATCCAGGTGCTCGCCGTGCTTTGGAACTTCAGTGCAAGCCCGTCCTTTTCAAGCAGGCTGTTTAGGAAGTGGATAGTAACTATGGTTAGATCCAAACCACTTAGAACATGAGAGCCGACAAACACACGATGGAATACTGGTCGATAAACCACCTAAGTCGATGAACCACCACCTACCGACTTTGTCCATACGCAGCACTACACCCCCGAGTAGGCTGAATAAACCAGCCAGGGTTGGCTAGCGGAAACAATCCAGGACCCCAATTAACGGAAAAGCAAAACCGGGGTGTTCAAACAATCGATGCCTACCCAGGCATGTTTACTCCTCGTATGTTCTGCCCCAAAAACGAGGTTCGCAACCAGGAAGTCCATGAAAGGTCTGTGTAATCTGCAGGAGAGTAAGGCGCTTAGTTGCTTTAGACATTCACCTGTTCAAGCCACTTTGGTTCTTTATGATGGAACATAACTATGCCAGCGAAGCCCATTGAGTTGCTGGAACCTGGTAAACTTGCTGGCGCTCAGCAGAAAATGAGGCAATGACCCCAAATTAAAAACCATCCCCTATGGTTTCCTTTAAGGGAACCAACTCCTGCACCAGCAAGTCAAAAGCATGGACATGGCCACTTCGAGTGGATGGCTTCAAGTAAATAAGCCCCAAAAGAGGAAAAACCAAGCTGTTCTTGTTACCACCGAAATGGCGGTGGCTCAAAAACATGTACTAGAATGGCCCCTTGGTAAATGGAACCAAAGACTACCTGCTCAACCCCAGCTCTTAAATTGTGAGCCACACCCAAATGGTTCATTTTTTTGTCCCAGGTCACAGACCCCCGATTTTTTTCACACACCGCCGACTTCAACCGCCGACCCGCCGACCCGTTTGATCCGCCTGGCAGCGCCGTAAAAGCTGCGCCGTGTGCGCCAGGTGCCACCAGGGGATGGCGCAGGCCCTCAGAAGTCTCAGCCTCACCGGACTCGACGTCAGCGACGTCTGCGCAAAGAACGGTTAGGGTACCGACTTGTTTTTCGTTTTTGTCTATTTTTGGGAAACCCTCCTCAACAAAAGTTGGTCAAAGGACATTACTGGGGGGCCTAGAAGAGGTACCTGGTACCTCCCACCCTTTTCACCAGGGACTTGACATCTTGGGGTCCTGGAAGATCAGTTTCCTCTTTTTTTTTGGGAACCCGTTGTCAGGTTCCACGTGAATTGGTGAGAGAAAATTTTGGCCGTGTCCGTTTTCCGATCCCCTGAAAGTTGGACTTGTGAGTGTGGAAACCCAACCGCAAAAAACCCACAGAGAAAAAACAGGAAAAGACCTCAAGCCTCAGGAACCGGATGTCTGGCTGTCTGGAACGAGCGTTGGGATCGGACGGATTTCACTCTGCCCGGAAAGAGCAAGCCCGGTTGTGACACTTCATAAGCATGGCAAGTTGGATGGTTGGACAGAAGGATCCATTTTTCCAGTGGAGAAGTTGCCACTAGAAGTGAAGCCTGTTTGGTGGGTTGCTCAAAATGGGGGAAGGGGATCCCTAAACCTAATCCGTAATTGATCCGCAAAGCAGGACACGTCGAGCGAGATCACTACCATCGATTAACAATTGTTGTTCAACACGATTGTTGGCTTGACCACTTCTGGTAGGAACCCCACCAAACAAAAAGGGATTGAGAGGATGCACAACTGGCGGCTTAAAATGGGATGCATGCATCAAATGCACACAGAGAACCTCGAAAAATACAAATAGCGGAAATTGCAAGCCGCCAAGGGGAACACAGTCTCCGCAGAAGAGGCTTAAGCGCCCCTGTTCCAGAGGCCGAAGCCGGCTACAGCCCAGCTTGGGGATTCAATTTGGGCTGGTTATTTGGCATTATGACTCGGTGTTTAAACACACATTATCAACCCAGTTCCTGAGTAGATTGGCACAAAAGCCCAAACATTTTGTTCAGAAGGGGCGCCTCCGAACTCTCGGGAATCCTCTTTGCTGTGACTTTTTCGGCGCCCACTTCGCGTGACAGCCTGCAGGAAAACACGTAGATCATAGCCTCCGGAAAACTCTCCCTGAGGCTCCCGTTGCCTCAACCAGCTCAACCAAACCAACCGCAGATAAGCTCCGCTACGTCTGGCATTTCTCTGCCATCCTATCCGCATCCTTGGCCGTGAAGCTGCGATCATCCATGTTCATGGACGTATGCTCCCCCAAAATCGCGGAGGGATGGCACCGCCACAAAGCTTTCTCCGGCACTAAGCCAGATGCTCGCGATCAGGGTCGCCCCATACAGTCGCCCGGAAGGATCGCTTGCAGATGTTCCCGGGGAGAAAAATGTCCACAGACCATTGGAGATGGTGCCCTATTGTAATTCAGTCATTGTTCAAGGTTTTTCTCGGTTCCTCTTTGCTCATCAAGGAACATTGTACTGATTTCTTCTTCTGTGTCTTTGCTTGGTTTGCTCCTTATCTAGGTCCTCCAGTGGAGAGGTTAGAATAAGGGGACCCTTTTGTCTATAGTCGTTTTTAATAAGGGAACCCTCCCAACCACAAAAAAGTAGGTGAGAAAGGGCACCTAGCTGGGGTACCTTGGTATTCTTTGCTTAGTTCAAGTTTCGGCCCGAGGTGTGCCAAACCTTGCCCCGGTCGGCAACGTCTGAAGCCACAACACTCTAAGATGGGGTCGTGTCTACCCCCAAACCGAAGCTAACTTCAGGGGGTTATGGTGGCTACAGAATATAGTGATCTCATTCAACTACTGGGGCCATCTTTGAATATAGCACTTAACATATCACCGGCATGGGCCGTCGAATCCTTGTAAAATGCACGTCTCTGGGATCCTTGTGTCTCTGGCCCCTGAGTAATCTTCCCAGGCTCTCAAGAGCTCTTGCGCTTGAATTGGAGTGCCTTCCCACCAGACCTGGGTTTTGATTTCCGGAACTAGACACATGAACACATGGAGCCAAACAGAAATTCTGGAGCCAAGATGCTGCTGAATCCGTTGCAGCTTCTGCGCAAGCCGGACAGCCTGGCGGAGCGCTCGCTCCCGTGTGCGCTGTCAAAGAAATCCGGGGATAGAGGGGCACATGGAGTCTCCGAACAGCGCGTGTAAGCTTGACCAGCCTCGTTTCGGCCTCCTGTAAAGGATCTCAATGGGTTGTACCCTCTCTCCAACTAGCGAACAGGAGGCTTTTGGAAGACTGCCCTCTCAAACAGGCCTCCTGTCAATTTCTATGCTTGATGAGCAAAGAGTACAGGCTTTCACAAGCCTTTGAACAGAACTTTTCCATATCCTACCCGCACGCCGTGCCCAAGAGAAGCCAGCCCAAACCCAGGGGAGTCACCGTGTCGAATGGAGTTCTCTCCCTTTTTGGTGGTTTTAGAGGGCACCAAAAGGAAACTAACCACCTGGAAGGGTCCCCAATTTGAGAAACACCCAAAAGACACTGCTGATGATCAATTGAGCCGTGCCAAATACTCTTGTGTAAAAAACGGTCCTATAAACTTGCTTTCGCGGACCCTTTCGCGATGCTTTCGCGACCCCATGTTTTGCTTTCGCGGGCTTTGGTTTCTTTAGAATTGCTTTCGCGACGCTTTCGCGGCGGACCGTCACACAGCATGCAGGCTTTCGCGGGTCTTTCGCGGCGGGACCTTCTTTGGTTACTTTCGCGATAAGCTTTCGCAAGCTTTCGCGGCCTGCGTTTTGTCTTTCACGGGGATTCTATAGGACACCCCCCTTTACTACTTTGTATTGTCAGGGTTTATGGCGCTGCTCAATTGAAGTTCGCTGGCGGCAAAAGTATGCCATCAAGGTTCCGTCCAGGATGCACGCGACAAAGTCATGGAATGCAATTCCATCATTGACTGGCCTTGACACATGACTTTTCCCCACGCGCTGGTCACTTGATGTCAGGTCAGGAAAATTATATGAGTCTCCCTAAAAGTATTGCTACTCGTTGGGCTTCAGTCAGCGCATCTCCTGCAAAGCAAGCACACAACTGCAAAAACATGAGTACTGATAACATGCATGAGGAGGAAAGCTTCCGATGAGGTTGTCCCACTTCAACGCAACAGCTACAGCAGAAGGGAAATGAACGGATACCACCAAACAAACTTCACGCAAAACCAATAAACACAACTTCATGCAAAGTCAACTCTTAGCCTAATCCGCAAATGCCAACTATCGCGAGTAGCTTGCCACTACCACTAACATCTGGCGCAAACGCCCACACATACTAGTTTAGGAACATGCACAGTATTAATGCATGTTATATTCTACATGTGCAACATAAGACCCACACCCACACCAGCTTGAGACACGAGCCCGCATAAACAACCGCGTAGCCGTACCCCAGTGGCGCGTATACCTTAACAAACCGAGCAATTGGAAGAAGCTTGCACATGTGTTGGCCGCAAAAACATGGGTTACATGACCCCAGGGTTGTAGAAAACAATCAAACTCTGAGGTCCCCTGTGTCCGACATTTGGTTGTGGGTCAAAAATAGTCACCCAGTAGAGGAGCCTGGTAAATTGAATCATGGACTAAAACCTATGGTCCCCCTGGTTGAATTTTGACCCATACCCTGTATGATCCACACCTATTCGATTCCCATGCTCGATCATGCATATGATAGCACATGAATATTGGCTCAGTTATGCTAGGTTATGCTTCCCCCAAGCCACAACAAAACGGAACGGACAAAATCCAAAACCTACATCACGCCCCCCCTCATATTCCATTTTCGAGGGGGTGGGGATGTTATGCCTCCACCGCCCCCAGCAACGAAGACGGCAGCACGTGGTCATCAAGGCGCCCCATCGCCATCTGGTGCTTTCGGATCCGAAAGCTGATAAAGCATCTGCCGTGATCAAAACCCCTGTGTTGTCATGGTCACTGAACTGGGCTGTCCGTTTTCTCATCACCCGCTAAAAGTGACTCACTTTTAGCGGGCTAAATGGAAAACCCCAACACTCAAAGGCTAAAAGGCTAAGGAACCGGATGGCTGGGAGCCACCCAAATAAGATCTATAAGGATTCTTACGCCGTCTCTCTACAATTTCTACTATAAAAGTGGCCACACGGGAAAACACAGATCAATCAGCATTCGCCTGAATCAAGAGCAAGGTTCCAAACGTTCGGGACAGGTTCATTCGCAAACTGAGTTGAAATAATGCCTAGTTGGGTGGCTGTTTTTTGGAGAAACCCCAAATTGGCGAGTTTTTGAAGGAACACCAACAGGAAAACCACGTCTTCTTCTTTTTTTGGGGGGCTGGTCCGATTCCTAAAACAAGACAAGGCACTCACATAGCACAGGACAAACCCGAAGTTTCACCCACGGTTTTGCTACATGGAACTCTTCCGGCCCAAGAACCTCGAAACTTCAACCCAACACAAACAGTCTTGGAACAATCAAAGTGGTTCGCCCAACCCAACTCATCTCATCTTCCAATTGAGCGGATTGGCCAAAGTCTGAACTCTTTGTGTGTCACTAACACGGTCATACCAACAAGTATGAAGTCCAGGAACTATCGAAGTGAGACATTATTGAACTCAAACATGCACAAAGTGTCTTTGGCATGGTCCATGTGGTCAGCAACCCGCTGCCGGCACGGACAAAGGATAGAGGAACTAAGGCATCCAAGTCGACGTCCCCTTGCTGATCTTTCTGCACGAACAACAGCCGAATGCAATATGTCAGCCATTTTGGGAAGACAGTGATTCACAATTCTAGAGTTTTTGACGGAGCATACTTCCAGCTGTTTCGCCTCACAATGTGGCTTCCATTGTGACGCTGCCTCTTGGGAGAGGCTGTAATTCAATTCACTGCGATTGAAGTTGCAGTTTGTCGAATCCAAAGGGCAATTGCCACACCAACCGGCAACATCGCAACATCTCCCAAACAATGAGTGGCTGGTGGAAAACAATCAGATTGTATGTCACTTGTTTCTTGTGACATGGACCTTTCGCTTTTGCACGGCAGAATTTGCGCATTGAACTGAAGGCAAATGGAACCCAGTGCAAGTTGCATATTAATTCGCGTCGAGTGGTTGTCAGCTCCCACGATGCACCGAGCTATGGATCGGCAGACTGTAAGGAAACTTCGGAAAGACCAAGCCATGAACCTTAAGGAGAGCTGATCAAGTGGGGCCAAATCGAAATGGGCCATTCTGGCTTTCACTCGAGGATCGACTTTGTCTGTCACCAGTTTATGCTCTGTGTATATACAGACAGGTCAGGTGAGACCAATATGGTTCTCATGAGACACCCAGGATTGAGGTAGTCCCCTCGTTCGTTCAATAGAGGGTGCATCACTTCCTCCCTTTCGGGAATTGTCGACCTCGTCACGGCCCCAAAGCATGTTTTCTTGCAACTGATACTCCTGTATTCCCCTGCAATCTGTCACTGCTACCCAATCAGGGTGTGGTTGTGCCGCACCCGTCTTTGTTGGCCACTACCGCACTTCCGCAGAAGGTACCTGGACCCTGGGACAAATACATCAAACCAAACTCTAACTCGAATAGGTCGTAGCCGCCGGCGCCCAGTCTGTCTCGCCCGCGGGCCTTCACGCGGGCCTCTTGAAGTTTCTCTGACTGTGCGGCCTTGGAGATTCAGGTCGTCGGGGAAAAGGCAAAGGCCTACAGATTCTTCGTCCCACAAAGCCAATTTGAGTGGTGGTGTTTATTCCCGTTAAGTTTGCATTGACGTATCAAACCCTGCCGCGAAACCTTCCGCGAAGCTTCCGCGATGTGAAGCGTACCTTCCGCGAGCATGTTTCTATATAAGTTTGTATAAGCTTTTTACGGGCTTTCCGCAGGCGAGTCTCTTCTGGAAACTGAGGAAGGTAGCTTCCGCGAGGGAATATCGTGTGCACGGTTTGCTGCTAACAGTGCTTGGCAACAACCACCAAAACGAAATCAAACTACTATGTGCGAATCAACAACTTCCCTTGCTCAAGCTTCCGCGGGGAGAAAAAAAAGGCTTCCGCAAACCTTCCGCGGCAGTACCGCTCTACCTGTTTGATATGTCGACATCTATACATGTTTGCTTGAGCGGGGGGGAACAAAAAAAACATTCATTGGTTCCAACAGACTTCAGCATCCAAACAGCGGACTGGGTCTCACACAAACCAGGATCGGCGTATCCTATTTGCAAACATCATTGAACACCAATCACTGGCATTTTAGGACCCCTCCTGAGAAATATATATATATATGCATATATATATATATTAAAAAAAAAAAAAAAAAAAAAAAAAAAAACACCCGAATAAGCTCGGGTTTGGCCCAAGAAATCCATCCCGCTAAAAACCAGGCAAGCAAGATGCGATGTGTTCATGTTCGGGCGAGAGACACATTTCGCACCTTCGGGGCGCTGTAATTATGTAGTAGGGCTGCATTCCGGGCAAAAGGAGTCAGCCATGCCCCCCCAAGAAGAACTGAAATATTATCATGAAACACTGATCGATTGGGAAATGCCCAAACTGATATTTCAGTACTACTGTCTGCATGTTGCTCATATGTGGCCGTCTAAAAAACCGAGTCGGACCCATAGCGGAGTGTTCAAACGGGAAACTGAGAGGACGCTCAAGCCGTTTGGAACGGTCAAACTCACAACGTGCACGACTCCTTGATGCTCTATCCCCAAACAGGCATCCACCCACTGTTGGTCCAAGACACACACACACATACATTGAAGGTTTGATGACTTCATCATTTAGGCAATCTTGCCCAAGTCACCGACACATGTGTTGGAGACGTGAAAGTGACATCCGCCAAAAGAAAAAAAAGAAAACAACTTCTGATTAATGCGGAGGCCGGATTAATCAGGGGTGGCTCCCCGGGAAATGAACCTGGAACAAATCTCAGATTTACAAGGAAGCCTCAACACATGAAGCTCTGGTGGTTGCCCGGGCTGTTTTCTTCCTTGCCCGAACCTCAAAACAAGAAGCTTCACCTTGTGCGACCTTGACTAAATGTACGTAGCAACCAGTTCGCTGTTGTTTACCTTCATGGTGAACTTGTGTAGACTAGTGAACATTGTTTATGGCCAGAACGAGAAAATCAAAAGGGCAACAGTGTGCAAACCGCCAAAAGGTTTTTTTGAACAACTCAGTGTACCACCCATGGAGCTAACTCCCTGGTTAACAGGAGTAAATTTTAAATAACCCATGAAACTCGAGGTCAACGTGGCTTTGTCTCAAAGTAGGCGACCCACAACAAAGGTTGGGTTGCCTTTGGCTGCCTTTAAAAGCACCCGGGGCACCCTCAAAACAAAAAAAGGACACGCCCACATCAGCCCTGGTTCCCTGGGCTGTTTTCTCATTGAGTTTGTCTCAAAATAGGGGACCAAACAAAATAGTTTGGTTTTCCCTTTCAAACCCACCAAAGGTGGGTAGCAACTAAAAAAACGAGGCCCCCCCAATACGGAGCTTTCTGACGCGACCTCGATCGATCAGCTCACCTCCCGCACGGCCACCTCAGCCAGGCACAGCTCCACCTGATGGATGCTGCAGGTGTCATGGGGCGAACTGACGTGGCGGCCATCCCTTGTTCCCCCCAGAAACTAAGGCCTTAAAGCCCCCCCGGGCGGTCCATGAAGCGATGAAGGTGGTCAGTGGTATTCTGTTTTGTCCAGTTTTCCTCAAAAAGGGTGGTTTGGGGCTTGGCGGTTTGGAGGTTAAGGGGTGGTTTTCCATTAAACCTCTACAAGAAACAGAGTTCGAATCCCCAAACCACCAATCCAAACCACCACTTATGGGAATATGTGTGTTCTATCTTTAAACAAAAGTAAGCATGGATGTTGTGCTCTTCAGGAAATCGGGTTTTGCCAGGATGTGTTTAAGGAATCAACATGTTTGTGTCCCGGGTTGTTTTCACCATTCGAGCTTCCCTCCAAATAATCCATCCCAAAAAAGGTCTGCCAGGATTAATTTGACTAAACATTATGCAATCAGCCTTCCCTTCCGAATCCCCGCTCCTCCCATGTAGCATGAGCCATACATGAATGAAATACAACTTCCCGTAAGCAAACCAAACAAAAAGCTGCCTGCGCTGCCTGGACAATTTCTTCACCTCCCAAACGCCCTCCCCCCATTTAGCCATCAATGCCCTTGGCTCCTATTGCCAGACACAACTTTGATTCCCATCTGGCTCCTTAGGTTTCGAGGCGATTTGTTTCCACACGAGTTAAACCTTTTGCAGATCTGGGAACAGCCCAGTTCTCACTGACATTGTCCTTTTTGTGTTCCCTTCAAACTTTCCCTTGCCAGTCGGTCCACGTCTGGCCAAGACAAGATGCTGGCAACTGATGGAAGACACAAATGTTCGGATTTCGTGGTGAATCCGGCGCACGAGAGAAGAGTGGCGTTCTGCGCAGCCCAGACCTCCTGTGGTGTGGATTCTTCGTTTTGTTTGTGGACGGTGGATGTGGCAGTTCTTCTTCATTCTTAAGTGCAAAAGGTTTCATTGAACATGAACTAGAAAAGAACTACAAAATACAGAGTTCCTGACTAAGCATCCTGGAATGAGGAAAGATGTCCCCCTCTAGCCCTCTAGAGAGCCGTTTCTGTCCCGGTTGCTGGTCTTTTGGTGTTCTCCCTAGTGAAGAGGAGTTTGTATTTTTGCTAGGTCACCGGTGGTTGAACGCCCTATGACAAAGCTCATTTGGAGATACATGCACAAACCCAACCTAAGTAGAAACCCTCTCATCCGGAACCAGTGGCAACATCGTGACACAACTGGAGCTTACAGGTTCGGTAGATGGTACCGGGAACCCCTTCTTGTGGTTCCCATGTTTCGTGGAGATCCCGTCAAACACAACAGGGGTCTAGAGGATGTGGACTCCGCTGAACTGCGCCTTTTCCGCACAGGTGATGCTGACTCGGAATCCTGGCCTTGGGTGTGTCTTCTTTAAGGGACCCAAAGCCAACCAAACGAGGCTCCACAATGAAAAAGGAACCCTGGTGTCCATAGAGTCTGACTCAAGGCCGTGGAGATTGGGCGTAATTTCACTTGGGGTGCACATCAGAAATACATAGAGGGCTTAAGTCCAACCATTTTGCAAGGGCTTCCCTCCCTTGAATATTGGCGCCACCTCTTCTGTTGCCTGAAGCAAACATGACCTGTTCGAACTACAGCCAATAAAATTCGGCAAAACCAAAGGCACATTGGCTCTGACAACCCACGCCCGAGCTCCCAGATCCAAGTTCGGAAGCTCGACGCTGGGAGATTGCATCCGCGTGCTCTTTGCGAACACGGATGAGGCACGTGATTTCGCCCTCGTACGCGACAGCGGCACGGGTTTACAGGATGTGCTGTTATCCGGCAGAGCGAACGCCGGCAGGAAGTGCGGCTTAGAGATGACCTGTGCCAGCAGCTGTTGAGGAGCAAACTGCTGAGCGAGAGTAACTCTGAAGAGCACCGTAACGACCGGCCCTCACTGCCGATGCTGGCTGCGTCATCATTCAGGCAATTGGGCAGCGCCTTTTGCGTAGGGGCCTCTTTGTACAGCGGCTTCCCTGATAATTTTGCAGAAGTGAGAATCAACCCCTCCACAACCTGGGGGCAAACAACTAGTGTTTCAACAACCACCTGCGTGAGTAATTACTCAGTGTAAAGCCAATACATTCTTTGCCACAGCTCGAGTCTGTGCTTCAATTGGCGGTGGCCCCGTTCAAGGGGGTTGCAATCGCAGGCGACCTTCTGGAAAAAATAGATGGCCTTCTAACCAAACTAACCAATCAAAAGAACACCTAGTGTGGGTGGACGAAATCCATTTCGCACCACTTTGAAACCATGGCTTCTGCTGGTTTTTACCGGGGTGCAAACAAACAAAGGATCAAGACCAGACCTGATCTTTGGGGCTCTGGATTTCTGAGGGTTGGAATTTTCAAAAACTTTAGGCGTTGGGAGCATCCACACCTACTGTGGGTGGACGAAATCCTGCACCACCTAAGACACCCTGGAAGGATGATTCCCTTGTAAATACCAGCAAGCAATGGTTTCAAACATGGTTTCAACCATGGTTTCCAAGTGGTGCGATTTCTGGAGTTCGTCCATCCACACCTGTGGTATGACCATGGCGTGGCAGACCCGCCCCCCGTCCCGTTGCGCCTCGCTCCGCCGCATCTCCGAGGCCTCTTTGGCCTCCAAGGCCTCGCGCTGCCTCGAGGTGTTCCTAGGGTTCGGCCCCAACAGAAAGGTCAACTTAGGTCTCCATGACCCTTCAAAAATAGGCCCACCCCATTATGTAGGGGAATGACCCCATGTTTAAAGGTTCATGGAGACTCTAGGTAGAAGTCATCCATGTACCAACAAGGACTTAGAGTCAGGTGAATTTATTTTGGAACACAGCGTGGCAATCGTTTTATGCAGGGATACACTCAAATTGGAACACACAGAGGCAATCATTTCCGAACACTGTGCGGTCTGTTTCTGGGTTTCCCCCAACATAAAGGTGTACAATTTCTTCATGTAGCAACAACGACTTAGGGCCAGGTGTTCATACTGTGGATGGGGAAAAACAAGCTGCACCAGTTGGTACAAGTAGGTTTATCAACCATCATTTATAGGGCCTCATTGTTGCAAGGGGTGTGGTCCAAGATGGGTGATCCCCCAAGGCTTCCTAAGGAACCCGAACGGAAATTTTAAGGAACCCGAAACGGGCTCTCAACTACTCACCGCACCTTGTACCTGCCTTCCGCATGGGATTCCACAATGGAAAGAACCTGCCAGGTGTTCCAAAGGGCTGCCCCTAAAGATACAGAAGGGTACGCCTCTCCAGAAGGGTACGTTTGCCTTGAAATAACCTGCTTGTACGTCTGCAGGGCCCACAGCGTACCCCTCGCCAGATGTCAAAAATTTCGTACCAAAACCGACGGGTTCCTCGTTCCCAAAATTGGACTTAGCCGGTTGGGATGGATGAAGCCCTGTGGATAATAGAAAAACCACCTACCAACTGGTGCAGAGTGGTTTTTGCAAGCATCCAGGTATTGTTGCTTCGGGTATGAATCAACATGTTCGCACAGTCCAAGACACCATTGGGGGTAGTCCCGTCAAAACCTGGAGCCAAATGAGGGTAAGTCCAAACATATGTCCGTCCTTAGAACGTTGGGTTGCCATACGCCCCAGGGGTCTGCCAGGGCTAAATCATGTGCCTGGCTAGGGTTTCAACATGTTCGAACTGACATGGGTGTGGATTTTGTCCTACAAGGGGACCGCTGGTTTTAGTCCATGATTCCATTTACCAAGGTTCCATTTTGGGTATCTATTTTTGACCCACAGCTACATGGCCTTAGATGGCCTCAGATGCAATAAACAAGCTCAACCAGGCGTGTCTTTGTTTTGAGGAAACCCCTTTTTTTGGTGGCTTTAAAAGGAAACCAAGAGGAAACCCACCATTTTCAGGGTCCCCTAAAAAAGACACACCCAAACAGGAGCAAAGTAGTTCCCGGCCACAACTTAGCGGCTGACCTTTGTTTAGGTTCTGAAGCACATCAACATCCCAAAGGAGTCTTCAACCTCTTCACATCTCTCAGAGGTATCCAGGGCCACTGCGAAACACCTTGGGCCGCTTCCCTCTGTGGTTTCGGGCTTCCGAAACCAATGATCATCTACCATGTACGTGTTGGGTTGAACCTATGGGGGATCCAAGAAAACCAATCAGTTGTGAACGTAGAACAAGGGAACCGGGCCGCTATTCTGCAGTGTGATTACAACGGCAGCAACTACAAACATGTGCCAAATAGCTGTGGGGTTGACTATCTTTACTGGGGAAGCCCTCAAACAAAAAGTTGGATCTGGAGAATTAATTCGCGCCACGGAACTGGGAATTTGAAAAAATCCGGGCCAGCAACTCAGCTGCTGTTTGCCTTGGACGACACCGCCCGGAAGCAATCACTTACTCAACAAGCAACCATGGAACTACATTCATGTAAAAACCCAACATATGAGCAAGAAACAACTGGTAACTACCCTGTTTTGTCACGGGGTCCCTTTAGTTTCATTGTAAAACAATCTGACACATGCCCAGGTCCGCCTTGACCTCCTTCAACCTTGACCAACCTCAGCAGGTGTCACCAGTGTCACCCACAGGTTTTCTTGCCGCACCCACGGTTTGGACTTGAGAGCCTTCTCAACAATTTCCCCCATGTTTCCCATTTCGTTAGGGTTCAAACCCCGCCCAAAACGCTAAAACATGTCAAAACTCCAAACATACTATCGAAAAAATACACCTCCCCCCCTTCTTGAACCCACCCCCCCCCGCCTCCCCCCACCCCCCTCCCTGAACCGCTCCCCCCCCCCCCGGCCGCGCCTCTCAGCAGCCTCCTGAGCCTCGCTCAAGCCCAGCAGCGCCGCCTGGTGCTCTGTCTGGAGCTCAGCCACCTGCCATCGAGGCTCGGAAATCGGCAAATCGAGCCACGATCGAGTGGATTCGCCCAAAAACGTATGTTTTTTTTGGTTGGAATTCCTCAATTTAACCCACAAGTCAAAAGGGGACTTGAGGATAGCCCAGATAGGGCAACCCCAGCAGGGTTGCTTAGTTTCCTATTGGTACCAGCCCCAGAAAGGGACCTGGAACTTTTGGTTCACCCCGAAACGGGCCCCATCACACACTCACTTTCTGAGGTGGCCAAAAGAGTGAAATTTGATTTGCCACCAAAATGCTCCAAATCCTCAAGAAGTGGCTAAAGTCCGAAACGGAACTTAGGGAGAGACATAGGCGTGGACCAATTTTTCCCAGAACTAACAACACTTTTGAGGTCCCCTATCTGGGCTGTCCTCAAGTCCCCTGCAAAAAACAAACTAACTTGTGGGTTAAACTTACAAACCCCAAACAAAACACCATGAAATGACCTTAAAAACCGAAGGAACCGGATGGCTGAAGCACCAAGCTATCTTGAGACCGACCCAAATGACCCCAAAGCACCGCGAGATCTCGCGCCTGCGGTGTCCACTGCGCCAGCTGCCGCGCGAAGCGGCCCTCCTCCTGGGCAAACCATATGTCGAGAAGCAAAATAACGCACTCTCACACACAAAAAAGGGTGGTGTCCGATGGTTTCCCTCAACACCCAAAAAACCGTATCAATCAAAAAACAAAAACATGTACCCCCAGTAGAACAACAGCAGACACATGTCAGAACAAAACCTCCCAAAAGGAGATTCCTCTACGGGCGCGGCAGGAGAGTACCTTCCAAGCATTCTGAATGCAGGGATCCCTTCCGCTTTCCAGATTTTGCTACAAGGCATCTGGGGAAGCAGGGGCCGGCATCGGCAACGAAGGATGGTTGAACACGGATGGGGGGATCAACGCATCCCCAGGATGCGCACACAACCAAAAGCCCAGGTGATATCCCCAGGCCCCGGAACCTTCTGGAACCGAATCCCTGGCCCCCATAGCTTTCTAAAAATGTGTGTGTGTGTGTGTTGTGTGTAGGTGGACTTTTCCTTGTTGTTTGGTGGCTTTAAAGGAAACCCAAAAGTAAACCGAAGCCATTTTGGGGGGGCCTAACCTGAAGAAAATGTTTTGTCCATTATAGTCACTTCCGATGTTTAGTGGATGGCCCACACAAACAAACATATCCCAATTTGTTTCTGTCTAAGCCAAAAAAAAGAGGTTTATCCAATATACTCACTTCCGACTTTTAGTGAATAGCCCAAAACAAAATAGATTACCCAATTGTTTTTTGTCTAAGCCACTGAGAGGAACAAAGGGACATGTCTTGGGCCGTTTCGCTCCTTTGAGTCACGGACTCATTCGGACCGCCCCGCTGGCAAGTCCTGCTGGAAGTGCTCCTCGTCCAAGCGCAGGCGCCGGCATACGATGTCCTGGACACCCGGAACGGCTTAAAGGGGGTCCTGAGGTTTCCCCTACCCTTACAATCCATGTGGACAATTATATATATATATACACATGGATAATATAGTTGTAATTATATATACATATAAGGTAATTATTGTTGACCCATTTGGAGGGTACATGTGGGTCGATGTGGGACACATGGAGTGTTTGGGATGGATCAAGTCTACTGCTTCGGTTTATTCAGGGTTGCTAAGGCTTGCCTTTGGATTTTCCCGACTGAAAACACCGCCTTTTCACATCTGGGGCGTCATGTTTTCAGGGAACCCCGCAGAATGGTGGCTTTCCTGCTGGTTTCCCTTCAAAACCAAACCCAATAAGGGGTACATGTTTACAAAAAGAAGTCTCCGGATTCCGAAGATGCCGTCCGAAGGCACGAAAGGCAGTCTCCTGCACGCGGGCCTCATCCGTGAGTCGAATGCACCGTTCCTGGGCAGCCTGCGAGCAGATTGCAATGGGCATGGGTCAAAATTGTACCACCAGGCAACAAAGGGTTTAAGTCCATGTTTCCATTTACCAGGGTTCCATTTTGGGTACCTTTTTTGACCCACAGCCAAATGAGGAAATGGCTCTGCAATCTCTGTGCCATTGGTTTCCGGTAGCTTGCACCAAGGGTATTAACCAGAACAGCGACCGTGTATCGAATCCCAAGTCTGGGGAGGATCAACCAAAAAGCGAGACTTGGCAAACACCCTTACTCACTTCCTGAGCGGCTGGGCCAAAAAAAGTCATACAATTGAAACCGCCGTTTCGAGGGGTCCAACCTGAAAAAAAGGCATCCGTGCCCATTCTCAGTTGCCAAAGGGCCTGGAACCAAAAGGTTAACCTTTTCGGGCCATGACTAAACATGGACCACAAGCGAGAAACCTAAAGGTCATTTCAGGACAGGTTCGAACAACTATTTGGCCTCTCCCGTGTACCCGGGTCAAAGTACCCAACGGATGCACATGATGAATGGCCAGGTGCAATCGAAATTTTCAACCTTCCAAAGACCCCCTATTCATTGCGAACATATTTTGGTGGGATTGGAGGTGTAGACAATGTGGCCGCACATGCCGTCCAACTCATGAGGCATAAGTTTACAGCACCTTCAGGCATTGACCAGCCCAACAAGACCCCAAATTTAGGGCCATACTTGAAGATATCTTGAAGGGGGCACCGGGACCCTGAAATTCCGTCTGACCGATGCAACAACATATGGAATAATCCAACACACCATCCATCTGAATGAAGGTTCCGTGGATGCGCGTATATTCACCGTGAGCATCGGTGTCCCGAAAATCCACGTGAACTCCACACCACGCCCATTTGTAGAGGAATATTCGGAATATCCCTTTGAAACATGCATGCCTAGATGGCTCGTTCTGCTTCCTTTCCTCACGAGTGCATTGAGAATGACCTGCAAGAAAAAATCAGAGCATGTTGCTTCAGGCGCTGTTCCTTCCATGCGATCCTTGACGGCGCTCTCGACATTGAAAACCATCTGAGCGCTTGCCGTTAGCCGCAGCCGATGGGCACACGCTCGGCGTCTTTCAGGTGTGTTCTGCAAGAACCCCTCTCTGCATGCAAACCTCATGTTGGTTCCCCCTGAAACTGCGGAACATCTCCAAAACGGAATGGAAACTCCACAAGGAAACCACCCGGACTCAGTAAGGAACTCCGAAACGATTTCCACTTTACCCGAGTCTTGCCTGGTAGGAAAACATGAAACAAAAATGTTTGGATTGGACACTCCTCCACAGGGCTCTCTGTACGTACATTATCCAACCTGAATTTTGGCCTTGTCAAGAAGCGAAATTGAGCCTTGATTCACGGCTTCCCGCGTTTTCTCTCTCAGTTGCCCAAGGGACATGGAAACCAAAGGCCAACCTTTCGGGCCCATGACTAAACATCGGAACCCAAAACGGGTTCCAAGCCTTCAGGTCAATTCAGGTCGATTTGGAGAAGTGAGCTCAGTAGGAAATCAGGGAATGACCAGGCGTGAACCATCTCACTCGTGGCTTCCGAATCCTCGGTCGACTGGCCCTGGGAAGCGGCCGATTCGATCTGGATGCCCCGTTCGCCGAATATTCCGTAAGTGAACCAACAAACCACGGTAGGTTTCCCTGGTTCCCTTCCATTTTTTAGGGCATGCGTGCCATCAAAGCAACCTTTGAAGTGGTAGCTAAAAAGAAACTTTGCCCTGTGCTGGCTGTGCTAACCACCAACACACTAGAAACACATCATGCCCGCAACGGACGCCCAGGGGCACGAATGGTTTTAACAACACTTGCCTACATCTTGGACTCCCAAATGGGCACTTGTGTTCCTTTTTTTCAAGTGACCCTTCCAAATAGTTGTTTTCCTTTAAAGCCGCTAAAAAAGCGGTACCGAGCCTCAACAAAAAGGCGAGCCACCCAAATGGATTTAACAAACAAACCGAGAAATGGGTCTGTCTGTGTTGAGGCGAAGAATACAACTTTAATTGAAAGCAATAAAGAAAACTACACATTTTTGAGACAAACCGCGAATGACCCAAACCTCGGCTGTCTGTTTTCTAATCCCCTACCGAAAGTTTAACTTTTTCGTGGGCTATATTGGAGTCCCCCCACTAAACAAACGAAACACCAAAAACTAGACCACGGTTGGCCCGAAAGCAGAACATCGCAAGCGAGGTCGGCCCAACGCTGCAGGATGCGTTCTTTTTCCCTACACGAAGCATTCGTGAAGCAAGCGCGAGACAGCACCAGGCAAGGTGCTCTGCGCAAACTGGTCGGTGCAAGTTGGTCTGCGCAAGTTGCTCTACGCAAGTTGCACTGTGCAAGTTGCTCTGCGCAAGTTGCTCCGCGCAAGTTGCTCCGGCAAGTTGGTCCCTGCAAGTGGCTCCCTGCAAGTTGCTCTGTGCAAATTGCGCTCCCTGCAAGTTGCTCTGTGCAAGCTGCTCTGTGCAAGTTGCTCTGTGCAAGTTGCTCTGCGTAAGTTGCTCTGCGCAAGTTGCTCTAGGCAAGGCGCTCTGCGCAAACTGGTCGGTGCAAGTTGGTCTGCGCAAGTTGCTCTGTGCAACTTGCTCTGCGCAAGTTGCTCTGCGCAAGTTGCTTTAAAATGCAAGTTGCATCTTGCGACGCCCGCCCGCGGACCAGGGAGGAATCGAACCCGCGACCCGCCGGTTCCGGGAGCAGGCGCGCGAACCACGAGACAACTCCCGAAGACCAGTTCGAACAACAAAAGTCGCAAAAACCTCGAGTTTTTGCACCTCCACCACGCCGATTCCCGCAGAGGGTTGCGCGAGCACCGCAGAAATCGCAAAAAAACCATGGGTTTTTGCACCTCGACCACGCCGATCCCCGCAGAGGGTCGCGCGAGCAGGTTAAACATCGCAAAAAACCTCGAGTTTTTGCACCTCGACCACGCCGATCCCCGCAGAGGGTCGCGCGAGCAGGTTAGAAATCGCAAAAAACCATGAGTTTTTGCACCTCGACCACGCCGATCCCCGCAGAGGGTCGCGCGAGCACCGCAGAAATCGCAAAAAACCATGGGTTTTTGCACCTCGACCACGCCGATCCCCGCAGAGGGTCGCGCGAGCGGGCACCTCGAGCAAAAAACCATGGGTTTTTGCACCTCGACCACGCCGATCCCCGCAGAGGGTCGCGCGGGAACTTTAGAAATCGCAAAAAACCATGACGCCGCCGATCCCCGCAGAGGGTCGCGCGAGCACCGCAGAAATCGCAAAAAACCATGGGTTTTTGCACCTCGACCACGCCGATCCCCGCAGAGGGTCGCGCGAGCAGCGCAGAAATCGCAAAAAACCATGGGTTTTTGCACCTCGACCACGCCGATCCCCGCAGAGGGTCGCGCGGGAACTTTAGAAATCGCAAAAAACCATGGGTTTTTGCACCTCGACCACGCCGATCCCCGCAGAGGGTCGATTTTCGTGTAGTGTCGTCGGCACTACCCCGCCGCCCTAAGAAGAGATTTTAACTCCTCGCAAGTCAATTGCACTTGACTCCTTGCACTTGCAACTTGCACTTGACTCCTTGCTTGTTTCAAGGAGTCATGGCAAGGAGTCATTGCAAGGAGTCATTGCAAGGAGTCATTGCAAGGAGTCATTGCAAGGAGTCATTGCAAGGAGTCATTGCAAGGAGTCATTGCAAGGAGTATTGGAATCCCCCACTAAACAAACGAAACACCCAAAAAACCACAAGCAACCGGACGGCTGGGAACCGCCGAGCAAGCACCTTCGCAACCGGACAGCGACCGTGTCACGCCTCCACCTCCTGCACCAAAATCAGCTCCGCCCGATGGGAGCTTCTTCGGCTCGGCGCCTGCGGGGAGTGGATTGGCCAGGCCAAACTTCATTCTCCGCTCCAATGGGTATGGGTCAAAAGGGCGGCCCTCCTTTCCGGGGAAGGTTTGTATAAATACATGTTCCACTGAACTGGTTTCTCCTTTGGAGTTTTCGATGTTCATGCCCGTTTGAAATCTTGCTTTGCTGCCTGGTGCAATGTTTTTGGGTCAACCACGTTGATACGATGAACAAACACAAAGCAAGTGGAGAAGCATTGGGTATGGGTCAAAAGAAAAAACTCCTTTCTGAGCGTTTGTTTTTGTGGTATGAAGGGAAACCAAAAGGGAAATCGTTTTGCCATTTCGGGGTCCCCTGTTTGGGTATGGTTCAAAACAAAAACCGGGTCATCCGCGGGTCTTCGTCTTTGGTTCCATTTACTGGGGCAACCCAAGAAATAATTTTAGGTCATTTTCGGACCGGCCAAATGGCCAAAGCCCAAGCGACCGAAGTCCAGGACGTATAAGAGGAACTCAGGAAGTGAGCATCCCTGGGTTGCTCGTTTGTTGGCAAAAAGCTAGATCACCCTCCTTTACGTTTACCGCAAATGCCAAAAACATGTGTCCAAAAGGCCTCAGGGGCCTTGCGGCCACACCAAGGACCAGCCATGGCAAGCATGGTCCTCTTAACTGGGCTGCCGGATTTCAGATCCCCCGCTAAAAGTAATTAACTTTTAGGGGGTAAATTTGGAAACTACCACTAAACACTAAAAAGCTAAAAGGCTAAGGCGGCTAAGGAACCGGACGGCTGGGAGCCTCCAAGAGGTTGGCCTCTCAATACTTGACCTGGAGGTAGGCCATACATTTGCTACCATTTGGTTAAGACCCCTGGAAAAATTAACAATATGTCCAGTAGTGACAAATTCCTTGTAAAAACCAACAAGCTTAAGCAAATGGAAGTCTGTCCAAGGTGCAAAGAACCTTGAGATACCTGGAAGGCCATGGTTCCTTGGAGAGCTGTCAGGTCCACGTGTTCGGCTCGAGAAACAAATCCTAGACGTTATGTTGTGAGTTCATAAAAAGGACAGGGGTCCATGAAAACTGCCACTTTTGGAGGTCCCAAAAAGGATTGTGGCCTGCGCTTCTCTCACAGTGCAATCAGCTTAGGATCAAATCGCCAAGGCGAGTTCTCAATGGATCAATGCGACACCCCCTATGTCCTTCGTCAGCTCCGCGGCGGCTGGCGTACCGACCCCTCCGAAAAAAGTGAATAACCTTTTCCGGGTGCAATTTGGAAAATCCAACTCCTGTTTCAACCCAAAAGTTCAAGTCAAAAGGTGTGTTGCTAAATAGCCATAATGAGTTCTTGATGGCTCCAGATGCATGAAATCGCAGGCAGAGCACTGGGTAGCCTGTGTGCCCATCTATGTATCTTCGTGTCTTGCATCTATGTATGCACAATGTGCGTTTGTCCACTTATCCACGAATACATGAAATTCAATATCATGTGAATCTCTGTTTCTATAAGGCTAGCTGACCATGTGTTTACCTTCCGTACCCAAAGTGGAAATTCATCCTGCGTTGAACTTGTGCATGGCAAGACAAGTCAAGAAGGGGACCACCTCGTTCAGGAGCACAGCCCAATGGGAATGTTTAGCCACATTCGACAACAAGACCGTGGCAAATTGCACAAGCAAGGTTTCAAGGTACTGTGAATTCCCCTAAAGGCTTGGAAGTTCACCAATTCTCCTGTGGCAATTTGGAGGCGTGTCCTTGTTGCCTACTTGCATTTTGTGGAGAGCCCAAGGGGTGATGTGTGATGCGTCAAGCAAGTCTGCTTGGTGTGCCCCCAACTGACATGGTACTTTGGTGAGCAAACGCCAACTTCCTAACGGCAATAGTTCGTAAGTGTGACTCATGTCATCACTTGACTACAGATGACACCAGATATTGACTGTTGCTCAATATATCGGGCCTTTCCCAAACGGGGAACCTCCTTGTTTGCTCCTTATTTGCCAGTTGACAAAAAAAAAACATGCTGATTGTCACGCGGTAAAAATAAAGGGGGTCCTAATTGAGGCCAACGGTCAAATGTTCAAAGGTGCTGTTGGCATTTCTGGGTGCTTCAAGAACATTAAACAAACATGCGCCAAACCCGTCAAATGTGAAGTAGCTTCTGCTTCAGAAGACGCAATGCTGGGCTGCCCTCAGATCCCTCACTTTAACTTTTAGTGGGTTAAATGGAAACTACCACCAAACACCAAAAAAGCTCAAAGGCTAAGGAACCGGATGGCTGGGAGCCACCAAAAAAACAAAATTCACCGCCCAAATAGCCCCAGGCGACCACCACACACACACACCCCACCGCCCCCACCGCCCCCACCGCCCCCACCGCCCCCACCGCCCCCACCGCCCCCGCCCCCTTGAAAAGCGGTTTGAAAGGCCCCAAAGCCACCTGGCCTTAGGCGCGGCCGCTTCCGCGAACGGCTCCCGCGAATTGATCTCCGAGCGCAACATCCGTAGCACGGCGCACTCGGCCTGCGGTTTGAGGCCAACTCGCAGGTTGAACGCTTGGAACCCCTTTAAAAGTGGACATAAAAATCCACCTACGTGTTCCCCCCCTTTTGAAATCTGATAAAAAACCGAACAAGCCCAGGTGGTATCCGCAACAGCCCCGGAAGCCCCTGAAACCCTCCGCCCCAAACCACGCCAGAGAGACTATCTGGGCAAAAAAGACCCATTAGCTTTCAGCGGTTGGGGAACAATCTGCCAAGTGAGCTGAGGTTCAGCTGGGACAGAAAGCCAACTTGGAGGAGGTTGGCAGTTTGACTTAAACCACCATGTAGAAGGTGTTTGTGTCCAAACATGAATGAAACAATGCCGGGGACAACTCGTGCCGAACTAGCTTCGATTTGAAACAGTGATCAGTTTAAGCCATTGTTGTTTTCTTCATTCTATAGGGGTGAGTGAAGTATCTTAGTTACCCTCTGGATACTTGTCTAAATCAAGCCTTGAGAGGGACCAGGAACCCAGGATTCAAAGCTACTACTCTAATATGTGCATCACTTTTCGGAACCCAGTTGATTGCACACATCTTCGGTTGATTCTTCCTGATCAGCGGCGTAGCGGCGTTGTTCCCAAGGCAATTGAGCAACACGGTCGAAGTGAATCGAATTATTCACCGCCCCGAATAAGAACTCCAATGAAAAGGAAGCTTTCAGCATGGGAGAGATCGCACACCTGAGCCACATTGTGGGGTTCCATCATTTGCCAAGGCTACTGGGAACTCCGTTGATCAATGACCCCCCCGGTAATTGTTTATTGTGGGGGCAGCCCGCTTTGGAGAGAGTTTGGATGACTTTCGGGGAAACACACCCATCGGCCAGGTTCAGGTCACCATTCTTAAAACAACCTCCTTTGGGTTTATTTGTTTTTAGGTTGGAGCACCCAAAATGGTGGGCTTTCCTTTTGATGTCCCTTTGAAACCCGCAAAAAGGGTACCCCTAAAAAAAGACACCCCTTGACCATGCAACATATGTGAGCCACGAACAAGATGACTTAAAGTTGCTTCAACTCTGTAGGTCCCCTTTGCGAGAAAATGGGGGGGGGGGGGGGGGCGGTTATCTTGGGTATGCCGGCCTGACCAGCCATGCTCGGGAATAGATGGGTTCCTTCAACTTTCCAAGTCAAACGCCACACACGCGCAAAAAAAAAACAAAAAACTCTGGTCCCACTGTGGCCTTTACCCATAAACGTTTTTTTTGTCCGGGTACCCCCTTTGTTGGTGGTGTTAAAGGGAAACCGACTGGAAAAAAAAAAACGGTGCTTCACTTGAGCCTTTGGAAATCATGCTGATAAGGAGGCTTCTGTTAGGGTCCAAAAGTGTCCCTTGCATAGTGTCAACTTGGGAATTATCTGGAAGACCGCTAGTACGCATCAATAATGTATCCTTTTGAAAAAAAGTAGCTGGATTTCCCATTTTCATGGGGCATGGAACCAATCTAAGCAGCGGTTTGCCCGTTGATTTCCAAGCAAACTGACCGATCAAAAAGACGCCTATGGTACTCATCAGGCTCGTCTTGCCTGGGCGTTCTCCTCCTCGGTGAGGCGCACCTCCTCCTGAGTCGCAGATTTGAGGGGGGGGGGGGGGCGGAACTCCAAACCCCCCCAAGGGGAAAGGAGGGGGAAAGGCCTGTGAGTGGCAAAGGTGATTTTGAGGAAGAACAAAGAAACTACAGTGATTCAGACATTTGTCCCACGCTCCTGGCAAAGAAAAAGCTGAACGTGGGTGGGTTGGAGCCAGCGCGGGACTCAGCGTGCGCGCTTCTCGACGCCATCGATCGTGCAGATTTCGGGCAGAACATGAATAGAGGAAATAGACATGCGCCTCGCACGTGAAAGCGAAACAGCTGTCAAAACCACCCTTTCAGGGTCTGTGCAAATACTAATCCTGTCCGCCTGCCTGCCGCGCTTGAATGGGATTTAGATGGAACACGTAGCTCACCATATGATGCATTTGATGCCTCCGAATAACATCAGCAGGTGGCTACCCACAACATCCTACTACTACAATAAAGATGTTGTGCGACCTCACGTCGCATACGGGCGCACATAATATCAATCTCTTGAAGCAACCACGCAGACGAGTAATCATATATGACTCAACATCTCACCTTAAGTGGGGAATCCGCAAACAACAAGGGGTTCTAAGTCAATCTGGGTGAATTATAATATTTCACCAACCTGAAATAAGCTGCTTGGGGGGCTATTCCCCACATAAACCGCCATTTGGGGTGAATTCGGTCGTGTGAGGTGGTTATTCACCCAGAGTCAATCCAAATCTGCCAGGCGTCCAACTCTTCTCTGAGCTGCAGCACCTCCAAGTCTGGCTTCGCATGAAGTTCTGGCTGCCTGGATTCCCACTGCCTTAGGCTGGTATGCCCTCAGGGTCACGTGGCGAAACCATTTTCTATCAAAGGCACCTTAAACTAGGCCACGTCAGTAGGCAATAAAGAGGGGTCTCGGGAAGGAACCCTTCGGGATCCCTTGGCGCGAAACCACCGGGCATGGCTCATAGCAAGCCAAAGACCCACTGCAATAAATGATGCGCTTGTTGAGGCTCGGGGAAACGAAACGCGGTGAGCAGGGGGTCAAAAGTACCTGCATGCCCCCAACGTGTAAATTCCGTTGCCAACCAGGCAGGAATCTGATAACCCACCCAGCATACGTCAGGGTTGGCAAACCCAATGAAATGAAGGAGGGCGCGGTTGAACATCCAAATTGAACATGTCCAACACACACACACACACACACACACACACACACACACGCCACGCACCGCACCGCACCGCACCGCACCGCACCGCACCGCACCGCACCGCACCGCACCGCACCGCACCGCACCGCACCGCACCGCACCGCACCGCACCGCACCGCACCGCACCGCACCGCACCACCGCACCGCACCGCACCGCACCGCACCGCACCGCACCGCACCGCACCGCACGCCGCGCGCGCCGCGCCGCGCCGCCGCGCCGCGCCGCGCCGCGCCGCGCCGCGCCGCGCCGCGCCGCACCGCACGCACGCACGCAAGCACCCACACACACACACACACACAGACACGCACACAGGCAGCTCGCCGCCAGTTTAAGACGAAATGCACCGCCTCCAGTTGCATCCGCATCGCCTCCTCCTGCGTGTGATGTTGACAATTCAACAACTGGCACCCCTTCGGTATCTTGGGTGCTGTAGATCCCCCAACGAAAAGCTTTCACTTTTTGCTGGTTAGAAGGAAATATGAGGGGAATCCAAAAAGTTAAAGTCTAAAGATCCAACCCAATAGCAGTAGAGGTACGTATGGATAGCTATAACCGGACTATTGGTTTATATAAGTCTTTAGGCCCTTGTATCATTTCCACCCACTTTGGCATCACCCCGTTTAATACCCAAAACCCATTGTAGCCTTGAGTGGCAAGAGAAAAGGGGGCAACAACAAACGGAGACCTTTTGGGACGATTAACAAAAAAGGGCTATTTAGCAGCCATCAAAGTGGTAGATACCAATCACTTTCCCACCATCAAAAAGGGACTTCTGCAAGGGAGTTGCACCCAAGAATTGGCAACCTCAAACTGGGCTGTCCTCAGTTCCCCTGCTAAAAGTTGCTTCTTTGGTGGGATATATATGGACACCGCCACACAAAACAAAAAGCCTAAAAACCAAAGAGGATGACTGGGAACCACCAAGAAAACTAACAGTTTGCGCAACACTATATATACAAACTACCAATTCGGGTTTGTGGTTGGGACTCACCGGCAACCAAACGGAAGCCATGCACTTTGAGGGGCCCACTTTCTAAACAATAGCTTTGTTGAAAGCACATTTGTGCGAGTGTGTCTTAAAGTAGGGACCCAAAAAACGAAACCCTAAATCAAGGGTGTTTTTTTCAGGGAACCCCTTCGAGCTCATTTTGTGCGGGTTTGTTTCAATCCACAAAAATGATATCCTTTTAGTTGGCCTTCAAAACGACCCGAGGGAAGATCCATTTTCCACCGCATCGCCTCCGCGTGGAAAAGCTGCGAGCGCAGCTCTGCCATCGCCGCGTCCGACGCCTCCGGGCGCACCTCACGCCCGGAACGGGCGAGCGCCTGACAGGGGAGACGAAACCCTGGGGAAACAGCTGGTGTTTGAAAAGAACGATGGTTGAAAAGAATGGTGAATCAACCCCTAGAATACTGGGCAAATTGATAGTTGGTAGACCCAACTGCCCAGTGACCCTGCAAAAACAAACATATTAGGGGATTAAATGTTGTTTAGTGGAGGACACCTTTTGAAATCAACCATTTTTAGTGGAGGGAACCCCTTTCAAATCAAACCATTTTTGGGTGAACCCACCAAAGAAAACAAGTTGATGCCGCTAAACTGGGTAAAAGCAAGCTCTTGTTTGCTGACTTGGGTTGGGCCAAGCCTTTCATTCAATGTATATAACCACGGTTGAAGCAGACTTACCTTTTGCTTTCCCTTTCATGGGGGTCTGAATCGGGCCTAGACCGCCATGCCCGCTCGGTTGCTCTTGAACTGGCTCCAAGGTGACATCCTCAAAATTGCCCAAGTTGCCAGCAACTAAAGGGATTTTAGGGAAAAACGGTTCAAATTTGGCTGGTTTTCTCCCTTCGATTTACCACATTGCGGTTGCTCTTGAACTATCTCCAGGTTTAAAGTGAAACCAGCAAATCCCAAAGAGAGGCGAAAAAAACATGTTCGCTTTCAACACAGACCCCAGCGGCCACGAGAAAAACAGTGGCGCCACTCTGATAGCAACGCCTCTGGGTGTGCGAGGTCAAGGGACACTTTCATGGACAAGCCAAATTTGGCTGTGGCTCAAAAACCGGTACCAAAATGGAACCCTGGTAAGTGGAAACATGAACCAAAACCTGCGTAACCCCTCGTGTTTAAATTTGAGCCACACCCGTTTGTTTTTCCAAAAGCTCCAACACGGAGCCTTTGGGGTCACATCAAGTGCGAGCCATGTTTAAGGCACCCAGTTCAAACAGTTCAAACCATTCTGCCTGGTACTCAGCCAGCTGCTGACGCAAGAGGCTATGCTCCTTTGCCATTGCCTGCATCTCCTGGGAGAAGCGGATGTGTTGAGTGGACGCGCTCAGCCGGTGACAGGGTTCCAGGTGGCTTTTGTGCTTGTGTTTTTGGAGGATTGACCTGAATCAAAAGAAAACCAATCATCCATTTTGAGGGTCCATCAGTGTTGCTCCGAGATACTGTGGATGGACGAAATCATGCACCACCGTGCAGAATTCCTGGAAAGATTCGATACCAACAAACATTGTGGTTTCAACCATGGTTTCATTTCGGGGTGCGGTTTGTGGATTTCGCAACCATCCACAGTACCTTGCACAAGCGTATCCAAATATGGCAGTCCGGAAAGGAAAACTGTCAAATTTCGCCCTTGGGGCTTGGTCATCTTGAGGCTCGCGTTGCAACCATGTTTGGATTCCACATATAGTGCAAACCAGGGGATGGAATGGTGTGCCGCTGAACCCAACCGCAATCGCGTGAGTTTGCGATCGAAATTCTGGGAGTCGTGCTTTCATTGGAACACTGAAGCCCTTGGCGGTTCAAGCTCACCCGAAAAGCGAGTTGTTCAAGACACCTGGACAATCACTGCTCACTCTCTACACCCGCAAGTCGCAGGCTGTCAACTCATGCTTGTCAAGGTTCAGCGAGCAGCCACATCATGGCGAAACAACCCCGAAACAGTAATCTTGCCAGCTTGAACTAACTCCTCTACATGAAACTATGCTTGGCCACAATACAGGCAGCTGGTCAGCAAGCACACTTGAAACGCTAAAGAGACAATGGCAAAAAAAAACTCTTTCCAACAATCAAGGAACTTGACAGACGGGTTTTGAAAAACCACGATTTCTCTTGACACGTTGTGAAGAGAGGAGAAGCAAGCCGTACCAAGCAACAATCCCTGCCGGCTAAGGACAAGCGGCGGCTGCTTGCTGCCGCATGAAGTCGTCACGTCTTTCCCCCTCGCTTTGGAGTCTCTGGATGATGACTCCAGAACGCCAGGCGGCAAAGTACCAGTAGGATGCATCCCACGGAGAGGTAACAGAGACTTCAGTTGCCTGGGCCGGATAGGACCAAAAAACCAACCAACCGACCGACCGAGCAAGCAAGCAAGCAAGCAAGCAAGCAAGCAAGCAAGCAAACAACGAACAAACAACACACAATACACACACAAAAAAGAAAAGAAACAAAAAGCGCACACAACCCAAACACATGCAAATAAACCAACCAACCAAACCAACCAGCCAGCCAACCAGCCAGCCAACCAGCCAACAAGCAAACATACAAACAAACACAACCAAACGCACAAACGAACGAACACACCAAAAAACAAGCGAAGCAAACGCGCAAGCAAGCAAGCGAACAAGCAAACAACACCAACTCACACACGCAAACAAAAAAGCAACAAAACAAACAAACAAACAAACAAACAAACAAGCAAGCAAAAACAAACAAACAAACAAACAAACAAACAAACAAACAAACAAGCAAACAACCAAACAAACAAACAAACAGCCAAGCAACCAAACAAACAGCCAACCAACACACAGGCACACAAAGAAACCAACAACCAAACAACAAACAAGCAAGCACAGCAAAGCAAAGCAAAGCAAAGCAATACAAAGCAAAGCAAGCAAACACGCAACTTGAAGCTGATTGAGCAGTCTATTCACAAAAAAACAAAGGATTGTGAACCCCGAATTCAAAACCCGTCTATACATAGCGGGTGTTCCGAACTCTGAAGTGAACCCCCGCATAAATGGACACCCCATTTCTCCAAATCGACCAAGGTTTCCGCTTCCATGGCTCCAATGGCCAATACGACGCTGGGCAGCACTAAAAACTGCCAGTCCGCCAACGAAACCCGTGAAGCACCAAGCGTTGATTACTTGCAACAGTCAGGTGCTGTATTAAACAACATACATTTACAAATGACCTGGAACGCAGACATGCTGCTTTGCACAAAGCTCAAATGAGAAATACATTTTGATACAAACATCCAACACATACATACAATCAGTAAACATGGCTGCTTCCGAACATTACACACCGTGCCTATCCATAACTCGCCACTAACTCTTCTGCACAAGCTCGGAGTTGTTTTTTCTCTGCGCCAAATATTGGGGCAGGCGATCTGATGGGTTTGAAAAGCAGTAGCTTGTCGAGATAGCAGCCAAAACAAAGGGGACTCTGGTCGATTTTCCTTTGTTGAGTTTTCAAGTGGGAAGGGAAACAGGGCTATTGTAGCCAAGTATGCCTCAAGAAAAGGAACGAGTCAAGCAAAGAGGCCCCACGCACTCAAGGCTTCTAGTATGGTAAGAGCGGGGGGTCTGTGGGAAAACTTTATAGAACAAAACCGGGGATTTCTGTGGGGAGGGACGGGGGGATTCTTGATATAGTTGCTGGAACACCAAGTCTGGGCACACCGGGATGTTCTCGGGAATTTTCCGGGGACTTTTGTGTAAAGGCGAATCACCACCCAACTTATGATAAGTTTTCCTCAATAAGCCAATAGAAGCGTGCCCCAACTCCCTGCAGCTTCCGTTTTTGGTCCGTCCCAGTGGCAGCTGGCTCAGCTTTGCGTCGCGTCTGCGTCTGCTGGTCCACCTTTACCACTCGGATGGGCTCCGGCCGATCCTGGGCGAATTTAGACCCCAGCACAAAATCGGCATGTTGTGCCAAAATAGGGTGACCCCAATAATGGTCGTTTTCCTTTTGGTTTCCCTTTAGAGCAACCTGAAAGAGTAACCCCGAAGAATACAAATAAGGAATCCGTAGCCAAGCGCGGGTAAGCTCATCCTCCCCTCCCAATCGATGAGCTCATCGGAATTTGCCCAGAGCCAAATGCCCTGCAATTTCCAGTCCCAGTGACCCCAGCTTTGAGTGGTCGCTCCGTCTGCGTCTGCTGGCTTTGCTTCAGCACGCGGAAGGGCTCTTGCTGGGCATGTTCCTTCGGCAATCGAGTGGAAGTTCGAAGATGCCGCAAAGAAGCGCCAACAATTTTCACTTCGTGGGTGCGCCATTTTTTAGGCGACCCAAGAAATGGTTTGGTACCCTCAAAAAGCAACACATCATCTTGGGCTAAGAGTGGACAACGCAATCCCTTATAAAATGGCGGGCCACAGATTCACCAACCTGCGCAAACGACCCGGGCCTCAAACGGATCCCCTCGTGGCATTGTTAGGTCCTTTTTATCCGGAGCTTTCGACACGTGCCCCGCAACTCGTCTGGCAGTCTGCGAGTTTCTCTTAAAAATGGGTCTGGGCCAATTGCTCCAGGAGGCTATCGTGGTTTCCCTCCAAAAAGGGGTCCGACAAACCGCGGTCCGATTCGCTTTTGGCTTCTCGTGTAAATTGCACCAAGCTGACTGGAAGACTCTCCATTGGAAAGAAGGTCAAAGATATGGGGTTGATCAATATTCCTGACCCCAAAATGGCCATAGTCACCCCATGTAAAGGACCTTTTGATCGACCCCATATTATGGGCTGTGTCTTGAAGGCGCACTTGAATCCGCAAAAATGGCAGTTTCCCTTGAAAATCACCAAACAAACATTTGGCACGTCATTTCCGTCCCAGCAGCCGGCGCGGCCGCGATTTGTCGCTCTCTCTGCGTCTCCACCGCCACATCTCGAGGTTGTGGAGGGGGAGCCGTTGCATGTTCCTTGAGGAAGCTGAGACACGCGAAAACAAACGGGTGTGGATTTCGCGGGCCCCTGATCCTGGGGGCAGGTGGGGCCTCATGTCGACCTGCGCCCCAAGAAAGGTGGTTCCAACTCTAAAAAGTAATGGCACAAGCTTGTTCCAAAGACGTAGGCAAGTGCTCCCTGGAGGGAAAGTACAGAAAACCAGATCAAACTTGGAAGGAAACTACGGCAAATTACGGGAAACTATAGGACACTATAGAGCATAGGCGATTGTTCCCTGTTGCTCGATCATCTCAAGGCCCAGCAACCCTGAGGTGAACATCGTTTGGACCGTGATTGTTCCGCTTGCTTGCAGCAGAAGGGAACGTGCGCAGCGATTCGCATCTTAGCCAACCAGGGCAGCACTAGTCGAGGGTGGCGCCCATTGACTGACTTCCCGGGTGGAAAAACTGTTTCGCACTTCCCACCAGGAACTCCGTGAGTTGATTGGTTGGGCTCCCTCCCCTTGGTTTCCAAAGTCTGCGTCTCGGCGCGAAGTCCGCGCCCCTCTCGCGCCAGCTCCCGTCGCTTTTTCCAGAAGGCAGCCGGCGATGGCCCACGCCGAAAACGGGCGTGGCGGGGCCGTAGAGCCTCAGATCCAGAAATCGCGCCACGAAAGGGGGGTATCAAAACAGGGGTATCCCATTTGGGGGTTCATCGAAAGTCCGATGAATATGTTTTGACCTTGACAGCCAAGTTTTTCTGACCCCCAATCAGCACTAGAAGACAGGTGCCCCGAGAACATGGTTTGGCGCGCAGGTTTTGGCAAGCAAGCTGGCAATGCGGCTTCTACCTTGTACCATGCACAAACATGCAATGTCACAAGAACAGGATGCAAGATCTCAGCAAAGCTTGCATAAATTCAAAGCCAAACCCAGAAACCCCAACCCGCCAAGCTCACAGCCAAAACAATGGAAGAACTTCCACCAAGTGACCTGTCTCAAAAGACACAGTTTGCAAAAGTATCCGTTCACAAAGGTCTGTGCGTAGCAGCAATCCAAAAGTTTTGTGCAAAAACTTTGATGTAAACGTGACTACTGTGATAATGGCTCAACGCTGGTAACTTTCGAGTTGTAGCTGCAAAGCTGTGCGTGCAAGTTTCTCTGCGCACCTTCTGCGCAACTTGCTCTGCGCATGTTGCTCTGTGCAAGCGTTCTACGAAAGTTGCTCCGCGCAAGTGTTCTACCAAAGTCGCTCTGTACAAGTTGCTCTGCGCAAGAGCTCCGTGCAATAGTTGTTGCGCGCAAGTGCTCTGCGCAAGTGCTCGCTGTGCCATTTGCTGTGCGTGAGTGCTCTTGAACCTTTGTTGAAGGATGTAGAGAAGCCTTTTTGCTTGGCTTCATCCGGACTACAATCTGCATCGGGGGTAACAACCGCAGTCCTGCGGAATTTGCAAAAGATCAAGAAAAGGGCACCGCTGGTCCTAAAGACCTGTGTTCTCCAAATGATGGCCCTTTCAAAGGCCCTTGAGCAGCAACCAAATGTAGCCCCTGCATGGCCGAGGCTCGCGCTTTGTGCTTACAATCGTGTTGCCCCATCCCTTTTTCGCCTCCCGCCTTTTCTCGGCGCAGTGCTTGCAAATCGGTGTGGTTGAGCAAAACATGTTTTGCATGCGTTTTGCCAAGCGCCGGAGTTTTGTTGCAGCACGTTCTTTCGCCTGAAGCCATGATGGGAATCGGCGGCGGGAATCGGCGGAATTTGGCGGGACATCGGCGGAATTCCAGGTTCATGGCTTGATGCGTTGGCGTTTTTCTTGCGCGCTCCCTTGCGACATTCGGCGTTTGGCGATTTCGGCGGAAATTTCCGCCGGCACAAAAACGCCTCTGCAAGTTCTGGCCCTGCAATATATTCGCCCTCATTGGCGGCTTTTGTAGCCCATAGTGTGAACTAACGCATGGGCGATGCCTCAGACAAACAAAGTGCTCCCCCCCTTGCGGCGTTGTATCCACCGGTGGCTACCCGGGCTCTGGGTCTACCTTGCGTTGGCTTGGGCGGAGCCTGACCGCCCCTCTCCTCCGTCAGCGTTGCGACGGCCAGAGCCAGCAGCCAGGAGTGTGCCCGTGCCCCAAAGATGGGCCTACAGCGCGCCTTGTCTTGGGGTAACATCATTTTTGCTTGTGTGAGCATGAGGTGCCACGCGTGCCTCTCTTCCCACCAATTCCCTGGGTCTGGGGGTCGTAGCTCTTGAAAAGTGGGCCTCTCTCCTTGCGTGTTGCAATGACCAGCACAATCCGCAAGCATACTGTTACAGGAGATTGCCAGTGGCAAGCTGATTCAGCCCGCTAGCCCCATTTTCAAAGCCGGTCGATTGAGTCAACAATGGTTGGCAGCGCAAGGTGGCGCACTGCCGCCCCTGACAGGCAAGGGGAAGGAGCCAGATGCACGCAAGAAGGAAGAGCAAGCCTCAGCGACTGTAGGTAGTGTAAACGTGCAGACTCTCAATGATCTGTCAGAACATGGCAAAGCATGTGGGAACACTACACGGTATTAGTACGTGGCCAAATGGCTGCGTGAGCAATTCCGCCAGAAAGCCATTCATTTGGCAGGTCTTCAGAAAAAAACGCGCTAGATTTGCTGCCGCCATCCAGGATGCTGGATGGTACACCCTTGCTGAGCCGCACCACCAACAGACTGCGGCAAGACCACTGGCAAAACCTGTTCTCAGGGCACAGTCGTTCTCAGGACACTTGATGGTGGCGCGAGCGTTGCTCAGCCTCGCTGGGTTGTCCTAATTTGGACATTGCGCACCACAAAGTGCACACGAATCTGACCCGCTCTTCGTTCATAAAGAGCACCATTGCCCCTACCGCTTCGCCGCTTCGCCGGTGCCTTTGCTTTGGGCTTGCCTTTTTTGGGCTTGCCATGGGAATGGTCCCGGGAATCTCTCTGGTCCCACCCTTGCCATTCCATGTCGACCAGGTGTCCCCTGCTTCGGCATCCGTCTGCTGCAAAACTCCCCACCATAGGTGGACCAGCATGCACATTGCCATGTTGTCACGCTCGCTAAGACGGGTATCTGCTTAACACGCTTATTCCAAGTGTGGTGTTGTTACATAAGCTTTATGCACGTATGTCTTACCCCAGTGCCTGATGCAGTGAAATGTTGCTTGTCACGCCGCAGCAAGTGCCGCGCTTTGCTCCGCCTCCTGGCGTTTCGATGCGAAGTGGGTTCGCAAGTGATTTTTGCAAGACACACAAAGCGCTGATGCAAGGAATGTCACTTGCCCAAGGCTTGGAAGCACACTGCAAACTGTTTACTTGTCGCACACCCAAGGCAAATGCGATCAAGAGGTGACGGAAGGCAAGTGTAGGTTCTATGCTGGGGCTTCCTAAGACAGAGCAAAACAAGGAGGCTCCCTAACGTTTAGCCGGTGGCAATGGGAAGCCAAGCTGAAGGATTTTTTACAGGGGGTCCCCCGCGTATTTGTCAATCAGGGGGCCATCGATCTGAGTTGGCGTTCCAACATCACCGGGCCCTGCTTGCGTCCAAGGCGCCGCCCCCGTGCGCTCTGCGGCGCCCGCCGCAACGTGCCCGCAGCGTGAACTGGGAGGTGCGCCACCTCGGGAAGCTGCCCTTCGTTCGATTCAGGCTCGCATAATTATGGGGGCTTCTCCCCGTGGTTCCTTATTCGGATGTTCGTCCAAGTTTAGGTTTTGTGGGTGTCCTTGCAAATGCTAACTTAAAAGGGTCAGGCGTTTGAGAACCTCTCAGAGGGGAACCCCTCAAAATGGCGGCTTTACATCAACTTTAGGCTTCCGTACCCTTACTATGGAACTGTCTGAAATGCGGATAGTGTTAAAGAGCAGCCGAACAGACACCAACAACCCGAAAGGGTCCTTTACTTTTTGAGAAACGCCAACGGCTGTTTTGTGTCATTGGCGGCTTCTTGTTTTGAATTGCTGGTACCTTCTGCCGAATCAAAAGAATCATGCGGCGTGAATACAATATTGTACTGCCGGGCTACGAGTTGCCGAATTCAATCTGAACCACTCACACGCACCCAAGCGTTAGTGTGCATGCGCTGTTGCGTGGGCCGTGTGTGTGCGTGTGATTGCGCAGAAGCCGCACAGGCATCTGTGCGTGTGCCTGAGACATCCTTGGAGTCACTAACTCACTCCAACGCGTAGCGAGGCCGCTGGTCGCCCGGGCACACAAAAAACAACAGGCCAACACCTTGAACCCCAGGCGAGCCATGCCTGTCGCGATGTCTTCTGAAACTTGCGTTTTTTTTGTTGAACAACCATGGCATCACAGGAACTTGCACTCGGATGAAGTATAGCGCTGCAAACCTCCTTGTCTTCAAATCCACATCGAGACGGCTAAACACACGACATGAAGGGTAACAACGACTGCGGATGAATACAGGGGGGGTTTAGGTTTTCGCTGGAAAACGGCTTACGCCAGGGTGTCGCTAAACTCACTTGCCCAAAGGACCATAAACTAAAAGGTGAATCTTTGGGGTCCATGACCAAATGAACCAACATGCGAAAACCAAAAGGTCAAAGGTCCGTTTTGGGCAACTGAGTAACCTGGCCTCCCGTTCAGCACCCCTGCGCAGCCTGAGCTCCCCAATCACCCGAGCCTGAACTTCCTGCACCGCCACCGGCTCTGTGGACCTTGCTGCCATGAAACCAAGCAATGTAACGAGGCCAAGCGCCCTTGCGAAGTGTGTGACTGCTGGGTTTCTCAAGCGTGCGATGCGAGATTCTTGCCCGGAACCAGACGGGGAGAGTAAGCACGAGAGAAAGAGAAGAAACAGGAACACTCAAACACGGTCGCGTCAGCACCACACTACCACTGGGCCGTAGCTCTCACATTCAACATGTAGCCCGTTCTTTTCCGCAAACGACTTGAGGCTCAAGGTCGGTCTTGTGTGGGTCATGTGTGGGTCAACACATGCGGTGGACAAGGCATATGTCGTGAACAATAATTATGATGAAATAAAAGGGAGAAAAAGGTGGAGAGAGAGAGAGAGAAAGAGAAAGCAAGACAGAGGGTGAGAAAAAAAGAAAGAAAGAAATAAAGGAAGATAAATAAATAAATAAAAACACCGAAAAAACAGAAAGGAAACAAAAACAATAAATACATATATTGAAAACCAAGAAAGAACAAAAACACATAACGAAAGAAATACTGACATAACAACCAAAAATAAGAACATAACAAAGAACGACATAAGTACATAGCTAACCAAATAAATCATAAAGAGAGCAAGAAACACAGAAAGAGAGCAAGAAAGAAAGAAAGAAGGAACGCAAGAAAGAAGCAAATAAATGAATAAACCAGCACCCTCCCGACTACTGCCCACTGCCCGGTAGATTGAGTTTTCCAAAAACAGATCGTAGATAGAAAAACTACTGTCTTTCTTTGTATTTGCGGGATGCCCAAAGTCATAACTCGCCAATGACAGCGTGTCAGTAACACGCAGTAGCAAGCAAGTTCTACTTAGTGACACGCAGCTTGCGTAGGGGTAGGGATATAAGCTTGTGTTTTACTGATGGGGAAACAACGGTAGTTCGGGGTCTACTGTCTTTTTTTATTTGCGGAACTACTGCCAAATAGACGGAAGTCACAAGAATAAAACGACAGCACTAGCCGGAGGGTGCTGGAAGGAATATAAAAAGAAAAGAATAATTAAAGAAAGAAGGACATAAAGAAACAAAGAAAGAAAGAAAGAAATAAAGACAGAAATGAGGAAATGAGGAAAGAAAGAAAGAACGAAAGAAAAACAGAGAGAGAGGGAGAGTCAGAAAACAAACGAGAAAGAGAGAGAGGGAGAGAGTCAGAAAAAAAACGAGAAAGAGAAAGAAAGAGAGAGACAGAGAGAGAGAGAGAGAGAGAGAGAGAGAGAGAGAGAGAGAGAGAGAGGGAGAGAGGAGAGAGAGGGAGGGAGGGAGGGAGGGAGGGAGGGAGGGAGGGAGGGAGGGAGGGAGGGGAGGGGAGGGAGGGAGGGAGGGAGGGAGGCAGGGAGGGAGAGAAAAAGAGAGGAAAAAGGCGAGGGCGCTCGCACAAGGCTTTTCAAGCTTTGCAGCTGTGGATGGCTGTGAGTCAATAATAGTGAGGGTCGCGCATCAAACGCGCAGTTGGCATAATGTGCAAGAAACTCATCATCCAATCGCGTGTGGAAAAACTTATCTCTTCTCCCTATCAATGAATGCTCCAGAATGCGCCATATGTCTAAACCTCGTTTTCCCAGCCCCAAAATTACTTTTGGAGTAGGCCAATTCCAAACCAATACCAAACTGGCTGATTGCTCGTCAAACCCGATGTCGAACTGGAGTGCTCCAAGACCAAGTCCCTGCACCAACCCTGTCTTGCTTTCCCGGCTTAATCTCTGAGCAAAGCAAAACAAAGACCTCTTCCCTTTCAGCACTTGCGCTACACCTGCTTGCCAACTTACAATCTGGGCCCGATTCAAGGGATGAGCACATTTGCTTCTCTCTGACCGTTAAATCTAATAAGAGGGCCGTATTTCTTACAAGTAGGAAGCGAATAACGGTTTAATAGGGTGCAACATGGTGCAACCTTGAGTGCAACGAAACATCTGGCTCAAATCCAGCTGCGCTGTGTGTCTTCGAGCTCGAAGAACGAGGGCAACCCTACCCGTAGGGTATACCGCTGACGTGCTTTGTTGCACCCCATCACCTGCACGCAGGCCGGCCCAAACACTTGGACCCCAAAACATCCCCGACCTCCCTGGCCTTGCGACGGGCTTCTGATGCCACGTCGCCCGGCCTTCAAAAAACACTGTAAATAGCGTGCAAATCGCCCCGGACAGTCGCCAGCATCCCCGCCAACATCCTCTGCATCCTGCCAGCATCCCCGGCAACAGCATCTGGGCGTTCCAGCATCCCTTACATCCCCTGCATCCCCAGCATCGCTCAAACCCTTCAAACATGGCCCCCTGAGAGTAGGTTTTGGTGGTAGGCGGACATGGCGGCCAAGTCTGCCATCGAGTGGGCGGTTTTTCTTGCGCAAGTGCGGCCGCCGCGGCTGTGCGGAAAACATCGCGCATACTGTTTTTTTCTGCATTTGTTCACCGGTTTCTGTGGGGCTGGGACGGGCTGTTGGGGATGCATTTTTTGGTCTGATTGCCTTTCGGTGTGAGACACGTGCGGCGCGCGCGCGCGCTGGACGCAGGCGCCGGACGCAAGGAGGCACACATGCGCTCAAGCTAATTAGGGTGGGTGAGTGCGTGCTCAGTGTCAGGGAAGCTGGGCAAGCAACCTTGCAGCCTCTTGTGCGTGTGGGTTCGCAGCGAGCGCGTGGTTGGGGCGGTCCGGAGGTCAGGCTCTGAAACAAGGTCCCACCTAAATAGAGTTCTTCTTAGTCCTCCCCATCTCACCTCTCCGACCGGCCAGCGCTGGTGATGGCGAAGCCCTAGGATACAACGAGCGCGCGCGCCGCGTGCAGCAAGCACGCAAGCACCCTCCATGCCGCACCTTGTAGACTGCCGACCTTTTGGGGTTCGACCCTTCGAAGGGACCCATGGACCCAGCTGATCTGAGTCACTGAGCCCCAGAAAGGGGCCCCCGACAGAGCACGCGCCGCCTGGCACTGGCCAACCTGGCCCAAAAGCCCGCGCGGGAGCCGGCTGGAAAACATACAAAAGCATGTTCAATAGTCATAGATTCCCTTTCCAATCAACAGGGGAAATTAAACATATGTCCAATAGTGATGGATTCCCTGTAGAATCCAACATGGCAAAAAAACAATTATTCTTTTGCCAATGGAAGGCTCGAAGCCAATGCAGCGCGTCGTGAGTTCTAAGCGCTCGTTGCTCTGACGCGCTTCTACCAAATGAACGGAGAAAGGCATGCCGTGGCGTTTTCCCTCCCCGCGCGTCAAGCCAACGCAGCCCTCCACAAGCTCAACTCCTGACCCAGGTTAAAAACCAAAAGGATGGAAAGGCAAACGCTTGACCTACGCAGTCGCCACGCAGCGGAACTAAGAAAGTGTGGCCATGATCAGGCTACGTTGAAGCAGCATATCTGGCGGGCGCAATTGTTGCGGAGACTGCAGCTGCACACCCTACATTCAGCAGCCATGTGGTTGTGAGCATCAAGCCCAAAAATAAAATGCTTAATTGACATGTTTGTTCTGTAGAAATTGTGTTGGCTTGCGGTAGCTTTTCAATGTCTCAGTAGAAAAGACCATAACAAAAGGGCAACATTTACCTCTGCCAAATACAAATATTTACACCAAAAAGAAGCCGAGATATCCTGCTTTGGCCCGCGTCAAGCTTCCTCGTGCTCAGTTTGTCCCCCATATGGCTATGAATTCTACTAGGGAACCGCTTACAAGCGCTTGGTGGACATGTGTTTCTGCAACTAAATTGGGTCCCCTGCTAAAAGTTTAACTTGTAGGTTAAATTCGGAAACCCAACCACTGAACCAACAAAAACCACCAAAACCACTAAACACTTAGGGAACCGGATGGCTGGGAAACAGCCAGCCAAACAGCTTCACCAACCAACGAAAGAAGCCCCGAGTCAAGCGGCTCATCCTTGAATAGACTTAGACCCCATGCTTTCTGCCGGTAAGGTGTAAAATGATGTCAACCCCCAAAGGCAAAAAGGCAAATGATGTGAACCAAACGCTGACTTATGCAAGCTCATACCAGTTGGGCCCAACCCTAGCCGCCGCCTTGGCGTCCAAGTACACCTGCGGGGTCTCATCCTGCGAAGGAAGTGCAAGCCAGGCGGCGCGTGCTATTCAAACGAGCGTGCCGCTTCTCTCTTTTGAGGATACCCGCTTGTTTGGAGTAGTCTGTAAGCAAGCCTTGCCCCAACCTTTTCAGTGAGGCCCGACCTGAAACAGGACAGGCGGACAGACCATGTCTAGAAGTTGAGCGTTGAGGAAAAAAAACTCGAAACCTGTGAACAACACCCGAAGAATTCTTCAGGGCCTGAAGAACTGGAGCCAAAGTCACATCTCGCTTTCCACTCAAAGGATCTTCTCACAAAGCAGGTCCAACAACTCGCGGAGTGAGTTTGTTTGTGAGTCTACTGTGCCCCCAGTGGCCGGAGAAAAAAAACAAAAAAGAAAAAAAAACGGGCGCCCTTCTTGAGCTCCTCAGATCCCCTGCTTTGGTTCTTCACTTGTGGCTCAAATTTGGACACCCAGCTGAACCGATTTTGCACACCTAAGGAGCCGGATGGAAACCAACAAGCCCCAAAGCAAGCGGCTCCGAAAAACTCGACCCGCTTTTTGTTGCCATGGCAAATTTTTGGGGAAACCCCAAGAGGCAAGTCTACCTGTATTCACCCCGTGGCCGGAAAACAGCCCGGCCCTTTGTTCTGGGCGGTCCCTTTTGATCCCCTGGCAAAAGTTTGGCTGAAAGTTTTGAACCAGTCAACTCAATGGAAGCCCGACCACTAAACCAACTGGAAACAACTAAAAACCTAAAGATCCGGATGGCTGGGAAACACCAAGCTAAGCAACTTCAGGTTGGTGAATGAAAGAACTCATAATTGACTAGAACCCAGGTATGTTGCTGGTAAGGTACAATGATGGAAACCCATAAAAGGCAAAAAGGTAATTGATCTGAAGCAGACTCTGACTTATGAAAGTTCAAACCAGTTGGGCTCCACCGTAGCCGCCGCCTTGACGTCCAAGTACTGCGGGGCCTCATCCTGCGAAGTGCAAGCCAGGCGGCGCTTGGCGCTTGCTATTCAAGCGGGTGTGCCGCTTCTCTTTTTTGAGGGCATCGCGTTTGGAAAGAAAGTCCACAAGGAAGTTTTCAGGACAACCGCGGCCACTTTCGTGGCTCCAACCTGAAAAAAGGAGTCCGACCATGTCGAGAAGTTGAGCGTGAGTTGCCTGGACTCCCGAAGGAGGCCAAAAAAGTTCGCACGGTCACGTCACGGGTTGGTGGCATGAAATCGACCGTTTCCCTTTTTTTGGTGGGGGAATACTTGCAGAGGGCATTGTCAATATGATTTTGAGGCGACTGGGTTCAATAGTACGCAATGAACACATTCGTATCTTCCCACAATGACTTAGGGCCCTGTGGCGCTGACCTTTTCGACCAATCAAATGTATGGTCTATGATTGTCAAGCGCCATCCCAAATCTACAAACAAGAGCGCTTTCGCACCTAGGGAAATTCCCAAATCCCATCGGGGCATTGTCGCATGCCTTTTTCGCGCCTTCTCTCGCACCCCTTTTGGCAGGCCTCCGGCCATTGCGTAACGCTGCTGCCACTGGCATCACCTGAGCGCCCAAACCCCGTTGAACTAAGATGGCAAGGCTTCTCAGTTGCCCAACTGACCAGGAAATAGCAGAGGCAGGTTACTTAAAGGGGCGGGGTCCTTAGTAAGTGGTTAGTAAGCCTGGTTGTAACCCACTGAGGAGACTTATAACCATGGTAAGCGGGTTATTATCCGCTAAGTACCCTGGCCCACCAAAGAGCAATCCACCGTTGTCTCCTGCTCAGTGGCCATGGGAAACAAAACAATGGGCAAGCACCAAAGTCGCCGCTCCAAACCGAACATATTCTCAGATTCTGCGTCAGTCAGTATATTTGTAAAGACATGTTGGGGGCCCAATCTCCAAGATGGCTGATTTGTTTTTGCACTCTGTTCCGCGACGCCGACTTGTGCCCCCTTTTAAAGGGGATTCCAAACAAGATTTCAATTTTGACAACCCCCATGTGTTAAAAAGGGACCCCAAAATGGTGGCCTTCCTTTTGGTCTCCCTTTGAACCAATCTGAGAAGGCTACCTGCAAAGACACACACACACGACGGTCAAAACTACTTGAGCGGGGGGTTAACGAAAGCTAGCCTAGCCAGAGCATGTACGCAATCCTATACTGAACGTCTGGAAATGTCTAGAAAAACAGGTTCCCCAGCTGCAAACATGTGGACGAAATTATGTCGATTAAATCAGGCATCGTGGGAAGCTCAGCCCCTAAAAGCAGCTAAAGCTTAGAGAACTCCCACTAGCACAGCTAGCTTTCGTGACTTGTTCCACCAAGAGTCCCCTGGCTTGCGCGGGAAGTTTCGCAAGTTCTCATATCCCTCCCAACTGGACCATGGATTACAGGGAAATGTTGACCAAAGCGCAGTTGACAACACCAGTGGGGCCCCAGATGTAAGCTGACCTCAAACGTTGACCAGGGCAGGGTAGTTAGCCTCAAAAAGTGTGCGCACACGCAGCACACGCATGCACACACACACACACACACACACACACACACACACACACACACACACACACACACACACACACACACACACACACACACACACACACACACACACACACACACACACACACAACACACACACACACACACACACACACACACACACACACACACACACACACACACACACACACACACACACACACACACACACACACACACACACACACACACACACACACACACACACACACACACACACACACACACACACACACACACACACACACACACACACACACACACACACACGCTTGTTCAGCCACAAGTTCAGCCACTCGATCAGCAACTGTGTCTGCCAAGCTCTGAACACACAATGTGTTGAATTCTATACAACCTAGCTTGGCCTCATGCATGCTACCGTCTTCAGAACGCGAGACACTCGGATCTTTGAGTGGACTTGCCAACAAAAACCGGCGGAAAACGTTTTGTCTAAGCCAATAAAATGATCCAACCGCCACAAGCGCCGACAGAACACAAGCTCCAGCATTCTCCGACAGGGCGGCGGCTACGGAGGTCGGCGCCGGAGCCAAATCCTCGGACCTCCAACGGCTAAGTTTCTTGGGTGGTCAACACCTAAGAGGATGCATCCCAAAAGCACCCCACTTTGCAGAAAAATCCGCTGAATCAGCTGCAACTACACCGAGCAAAGGTCAAGAAAAGCCAAAATGACCTTCACGTGCTCAAGTCACCTGGAAAAATATTCAATAGTGATATATTCCCTTTGAAACTAACATGGAAAGATATGCAAATATTCTCAATCAAACTGGGCAGTTCAAATAGAGGGTTTGCCAATCCTAATCCATAATCCCTACAGGGAGCCCACTACAAGGGGACCCGTCCCTTGCGTAACCCAAGGTAAGGATTGAGGATTGCCTTAGAGACCGTCAAATGGAAGCAGATTTCTTCAAACAAGTCTGAAGCACAATTGGCTGACGTCCAGCTGACTGGCCCACATGATACCAAAAGTAGACCCTGTTTTAAGTAGAGTCATGGTTACGAGCCCTGACCCCACTCCCCAAAATAGCCATGCTTCTAGCCTCGGGATGAACAGCTTCTAGCCTCGGGATGAACAGCCTGCAAGTAGCAAACTCAAAAAACCCTGGCAATGCTGCTCTGACTTGGATCACTTGGATCACTTAGCCGAAAGCACGAAACTGAAAAGCTGAAAGCGAGTAATCAACTCCAAGAGTCTTTGGGGTTCAAACCAGCAAAAATACCATGGGGGGTTGCTATGACCACCATTCTTTACCTAAGGATTGTCATCATCCAAATTGGGCCAACCAGTCTTCTAATGGGGGGTTGAACCTTACGGAAGTCGGTTTACTCACAATATTCAAGGAATCCACCGTGCTTCCCTGGAAACGAAACGCACCTAATCCCTGCATCCAAACCATATTATTCTCGGCGCAAATATGTTATATGTTTGTTATGTTCCATGAAAATGGATTTGTCTCCTCCAAATTGGTGGTGTCTCTTTTGGGCAGCGTCTTACAAGCTTGCCACTGACAACATCTGACGATGCTTGCGGAGCTGACTACCGGATAAAGCTAGCTTGATCATGCATATTATGATCACCCTGATGGTAATGTCGGCAAATCACCCTCTTGATATCAGACTCCCATGATTGAGGAACCCTATCATCCCCCAATAGGCCTGATTAGTCCGTATTAGCCGCCATTAGGATTGGGGTGCCCTATTGGGGGGCCGGACAGATTGAATTTAATGAACAAACTGGAAACATGATAAAGGTGTTGCTCCTCGCAAGCCATCAACCAAATTGCTTTAAATTGAATGCATGTGCTGCCTTAAGCAAAGAAACCCCGGTGACAGGCCCATATTTACTGCTGACATGTACCTCGGAATCATTATCCCAAGGTGTCAATTGCTGAAACAGTTCATTTGACGTGCAACAAGGGTCTTTTATTTAAGACAGCCTGCACACACACACACACACACAGACACACACACACACACACACACACACACACACACACACACACACACACACACACACACACACACACACACACACACACACACACACACACACGCACGATCACTTGGAGCACAGCTCTGACCTCAAAGCAATGCTACCAGGCTCAGCCAGTGGCGGCGTCCGCTTAGAAGTCCAACGTTAATTGTGTCCAGTCAGGAGCATAGTAATCCTAACAACATCAACAAACAACAACAGCGTGCGCTAGAAATTGAAAGAACCATGAATCAGCAGCGCTTCCCCTTGAGCATGAAAACAACCGTGGTGCGCAAGCATAATGATTCCGAGTAGCAAAGGCATGACTTGGGAAACATGGGAAACACCCCATGTTGCTAGCTTTGACAACCCAAAACCAGTCAAACAAAATGAAGCCCCAAACCGGGCCATGCTTTTCCGGCACCGGAAAAGCAGGCTGTGCAAAGCAACGTGCTTTCCAATGTGTAACTTGATCTGGTGGGTGGAGGCCTGGGGGAGGCCTTAGCCCGACCCAGCCTGGTTGTGAGCTGCCAGCAACTCCCATCTAAGCCTCGGAAGAGCCACGAAACGCGCTATGGGATCGAACTGGGACGGAAAAATCCCTGGGGCCCTCACACCCGAAAAGTTCTGAAGGAACCTTCTTGGAACTTGGAACGGGTTCAATGGGTTCTTGCAAGGGCTCTGAGAATCGGAAAAAAAAGCCGGGGGCCCTTGCCTCTGCTTATTCAGGAACATGGGTGTGTCTAGATTCGAGGGTGCGCTTTTTGTTGGCGGTGTTCAAGAACAACCAAAAGGAAAATCACCATTTTCTGGGGTCCAGCCTCAAAAAAGACGCACCCAAATAGCACAAGTCAAGCATCCAAAAAGGTGGGTCCTCGGCTCGTAGCCTCTCGGAGGTCTCCGAGAATCTTCCTTCAAGAGGCAAACATGTGTCGTTGAGCTGGAACTGCGTAACCTTGGATGAGACGTCCAACCAATGCAGCAAATGGACATTTGTACAAGTATGTACAAGTCCTTGACCACATGTTTGGCCTTTAAGGCTTCAACCCGCTTGCCCAGCGACCTGAAATGACCTGAAAGAAAGAAACAACGGATTCCGTCGTTGGTTCCACACTTCGTCGGCAACCCACCAGATAAAAAGGAGAAACGTGTCACACTACATAAAACGAACCTGCAGGTTGTTTGTTCATAACTGAAGGCACAAACAGCAGAAGCACACATTGGTTGGCTTTTAGTGCTTTAAGTCAGCAACCATGGATGCCAGCTCGTGTGCAACGCTAGAGACACCAGCAGTCAACTGCCCACACTTAGCTTGCAGTTGAGCACACCTGAGTCAGAATCAAGACCTGGTAAGAACTCAAAAGACGGCCGCACATGTTGCGTTGAGATCCTCAAAACAAAGCTCCGGAAGCCAACATAACTCCAGCCGAAAAG